ATGACCTAAATATGCTAATTGCTTATGGAAGAATTTATACTTTTTATGATACAAGCATAATTTTCATTGCCGTAATCACTCAAACATTACTTATAAATGTCTCACATGATCTTGTGGGATGCTATTAAAAGTGATAATATTATCAATGTAGTATCTAGCAAATGATAAGCAAGATAAAATTTGATCCATTACTTGTTGAAATTTAACTGGTATATTCTTAAGACCAAATAGAAAGAATTTTTAATAATAGAATTTATCTTTGTCATCTTGATTAATTCTTCAAAAAAAAAATCATCCAATCTTCAATAAATAATAGTAATTGGTGACAACCAGATCTTAAATCCAAAGTGCTGAATACTCAAAAAAATCCTTCTACATCAAATAATTCTTCTACCTTTGGCATTGGATATCAATCAAATTTAGTCTTATGATTAATAAAATGATAGTCTCTATACATCTATTTCTCTATCCAATTGCCAAAAAAATCTTTTTTTTAAAGCATGATTGTAGCAGAAGCATACTCACTAATAAAAAGTTCAATTAAGCCTATAACCAATAACTCTTAGCAAGAAGCTTCAATACTAGTTTTTTCTAAGGCACTTAGCCTATAAGGTTGTCAAAAGATTGGATGATTATCTTTTAATTGGATGTGAATAGGTTTGCTTTTATAACCTTCAAGATCTTCAAGACTAAAAGCAAAACAATTGTCATACAATCAAATAAAAGCTCATACCTTTTGTACTTTGGCATCAATAAGATGTGGCTCTAATTCCAATGGCCAATCATCAAACTTTGTGGTTTCTTTCTTGACCAATAGAGCACCAATAGATGCCAATATGGCCTTTAATTACTAATTTGTTGAAAAAATAATTCCTATGTCCTCAACATTCTCACCACTAATCAAATAAAGAGCTTCATTACCACAATATTTGTATGTATTAAAAATATTGATAGAACATAGAATTTTTTTTAAAAAAAATTCTTATAAGAAAACCTCTTGAGCATTTTTTTTCTCTAAGTCTTTAACTAAAATTGCAAAGACATATTGAACTTGTATTTCATCAATTATATGCCTCTATAAGCAAAGAAATGACTTGGATTCTTCAACCTTGATAAATTCAACATCTACTACTACTTGACAATTATTTTTTAACTCTAAAATATTAATATGGTTATAAAATTGCTTTTGAATACTAAGACATATGCCAATAATCTATATTAAAGTATTGAGGTCCATAGCATGGCCTAAGAAAAAATAATGTTGTCTTTAGTGAAATCATAAGCAATTGTGGGGCATATTAAAAAGTTTGTAGCATTCTCTCTTTTATTGGTATTAGCTTCTTCATAGGTTTGTGAATTGGCATCCCAAACTATACCAGATCCATAAGTTTGAAATGCAAATGATGTTGGAAAAGTCACAAATATAAGAAATGCGCCATGAAGTGACTCCATCTTATTAACCAAGGTAAGAAGAGATTCATTAGTCTTAGTAACAACTATAAAAATTTGATAATTATCTAAGATATCATCAATATGATTACAAAGAGCTCTACAAGGATAATACCCTCATTTGGTGGATGCCACTGAATAGGTTGGACAACAAAATAAGATTTTTGCTGATATAATCATAGCAATGGCTGCAAATGTGACTGAAATGAATTCTTTCTTTCCATCATCAATAGACCATCTTGGTCGAATCCATACTTCTTTAGTCTAATTATTTAAGCTAAGACCAAATAGATAAAGGACCTATGGACCTACTAAAATATCATGGTTGGTGGTATTAATCGTTGTTTAATTTAGAGAGAAGTGTGAATAAAGTAGATCAAATTTAGTGCAAAATATTAATTACAAACGGTTCTTAGTATAGACAATAGCTTGCTCTGTGCCTCCTACTAAAGTAACAATGGTGAAAGGATAAGATTCTAGGTTTGTAGAAATAAGACCTAATTTTTGAGCAAGCCGTTTGTTAATCATAATTAGCTGAGTCTCAAAATCTAGTATAATGTGCAAAGATATATCACAAGTAGTATTGATACTAATACAACTAACAACCAACATATTATTTTTTTTAACTAATTGTACAACTAAAAGACATAAATTTTGATGTTTTCAAGCAATTTTAGTAACAACATCAGATAAAAATACTACCTCTATAGCCAATGGTACCTTACTTAAAGAATTTATATTTATGGCCTTTAAGTAACCTTTATTAAATATGTTAATAGCTTTAGTTGTAAGTTTTACTTGTAACTTAGATAAATCCTCTTGTATTGAAGGTTTTGTTACTACTTGAGCCTTCTCTAATAATGGCATAGATACTTTGCCTTCTAACATTTTATTAGTTAATTAAAAGATTTCTACTAGTTTAAATTTTGAAGCCAATAAGTCAATACTAAAAAATATAGACATATTTAATACTTTATGTATCAAAGTATGTATTGTGTTTTTAACACTAGTATCTTTATCTTATGTTGAAATTAGAATAGAAGGCTTTTCTACACAATTAACATCTATAAGGCAAAAAGATAAAGGTAATTGCATATAGGTATTAAGATCTCTACAATTACTTGGATGGCCAAATAGAAGTTCTAGTATCTCACTTATTATAGATGCCATATTTCTAGCTATTTTTTGAGCACTTGTAGTAACTCCATCCACCATTTGTCTTCATGCACCAAATATATAATTTTTTAGAAAAAAAAAAATTATTCCAACCTACGCCTACAAAACTACCAAGCTGTAGAATTTACTAGCAATCACCTCTAGATCACTACAAATTCAACATGTCCATAAACAAAAGGATCTCATTGGCCATCAACCCAACTTTATCTTTATAGTATGCCTATTAATATAAACTAGTACAAATACAAAATGAAGTAACTACAAAAATTCTTCGGAAATAATACTTGTAACTAGGAGAAGGTATCAAAAATAAAATCCAAAAATCTACACTAGATCCTCATTGTCAATAACACATAAGAAAAAATCAAAAATAAATTAGAGCAATCAGCACCCTCCTATGCTTAATAGACACAAATTATAGAATCTTTGATAATAAAAGATAATAAAATGAAATATGGAGAAGTAAGAGCAAATCAAAAATTTATTAAGAAAGCAATTGACATTTAGTAAATGCCACTTTAATGCTTCAAATGTCCTCCACTGCAAAAATTGAGCATGTTAATAAATTTTTTGGCCCTCTTTTATATAAAATTTACTCAAAAATAATCAAATTTAGATTCCATATGCATTTGGAGTGAACTTCCAAAATTGACACTTAAGAATTATAGATAATGTGTTTTTTAATGTCTTATTATCATGTAACAAGGTCGGTGACTATAGACTTTTTACCATGGTCCTATGATTGTGAGGATCTTGTCAGTGTGCATCTCTATCATTGTCCATTTTTTGTTCACAAAGAGCCTTTGATTGTGGATCTTTTTACTATATTCACTCGAGGCCATGGCTTCATACCATGAGCCACAAAAGTATGCCATTAGTTGTTGATTGCAATTGCAATGCTTGTTATTTTCTTAGAACTCATACCAAATTCTTATGTTGCATCACTAAGCACAAAGCGCCTTGCTAAGCAACTCTAAAGTTGCTTCTAATGTCAAAAACCACCAATGCAATGTCTTGTTGTGATTAAAGCAAGTCCTACAACAAGTCTTGTAAAAAATTAAAAAAAATAAAAGAATAAATAAAACTGTGACTAAAATGAGCTCCAAAAAAAATAAAATAAAATAAAATAAAAATCAACATTGTGCCTTCACAGCTCTACCTTATCACCTCTCAATATTATTGCCTCGTGATTTTAATACTGCCTTGCATTATTCTTTGTAATCAATCTATACAATCTATATGCCTCTTCTATGACCTTCTTATGCAACTTTGCAACCTTACTTTGATGCACGCCACCCAGTGACTTCAGTTCCATCACAACACTCCAAACTTCCACTCTTGTACCATAGCGTATTTTGACGTAATACTACTATAGCAGATCAGTTGGTTTTGGCGCTTAGCAATATCCAAAACCTAAAAGCAAAAATAAATCAAAATTTATTTATTTTTATTTTTATTTTTATTTTTTTAATCTACTTCATTCTAACTTGCTATATTACAAATTGAAGAAAAAGAGAGATTCTTGTCAAGTAAAAGATTAGAAATCTACACCAAATTAAATCAATGTATTTCTTACACCACAAAGAGGGAATTTAAGAGTAAAAAAGTAAAAATAAGAGAAACCCTAAAGCTTTATTAAGATGACTAAAACATCATAGCTAAACAAATCCTTACAACAACTTCTTTTACTTCAAAATCACTCATAAGACTTGACTTGACAAGAATGTCAAGTCAAGGATTTTTTTCTACTTAAGTACTCAAACACTAATTGACATGAACAAGTTAACTAATGGAAAAACTATCAATGGATGAAAATCCACTAACCAAACTAAACTACATACATTTAATAGAATTTGGCATCCAATGCCATATTACATGATAGTCATATTTTTTAAATGGTGTAAAAAAAAAATAATAATAACTGATTTAATTAAATTAATTTATTTTTTAAATTATAATTTTATAGTTAAAAAAAATAAAAATCATGTGAAGAATCCTAAATCAATTTAATTATTTTAAATAGTGTCATTGGGTTATCAGAAAGGATAATCACATGTAGATATACACACACATACAATAATATACCTAAAAATAAAGTAAAAATTAACACCCATTAGTAATAAGGGTTGATTTATAACCATTAGTGCAAATTTTTAATTAGGATATAATATAAGAAGACCCTACAAGGCAAAGAATCTCACCGGGCCGGGCCGAGCCGGGCACGGCCACGAGGTGCCCTTTCGCGTCGAGGAGACGGGTATAGGAGGAGGAAAAGGAAGGCGCGGTGATGGAGGCTCCACGGCAACGCGCTCCCAAAGATGATCAGATGAAGGCCTGCAACCTCAGACAGCAAAACACAAGACATTCGGAAATTTCCGTTCGGCTCGGTTCCGTTCGTATGTTCAAGTTTCGTCTCAGCTTGGTGCCCCTTCCTCACGTCATCGTTGTCGTCGTCTTCGTCGTCTCGCCCGCCTGGTCCTGCTCCCTCGCTCGCTGTTGCACTGTAAGCTTAAGCCTACGTCCTCTTTCTTCTCCTCCTCTGCTGTTGCTCTTTCTCTGGTACTTCTGACGGCTCCATGGGTGTAGTCATTCGTTTCTAGTACTGACATTGGTTGTGCTGTCGAGGAGGAGCTATGTGTGGCGAGTGTGATAATCGCGTTCATGCTGTAGTTTCCTGTGGTTTATCGAAGGGAGAAGAAGGATTAGGAGGATGGAGTCGAGGGGCTTAAGGGCTTAAGGAACACGCCGATTGCGGCTGGACTGAGAGCTTAAATCTACTTGAAGTAAGGACGTTTTGAAGCTGCCAAAGGAGTGCTGCGACAAGGTGGCTAGTTTTTCGTATCCTCGTTTGAGTTGTTGACTGAAGCAGGAGGTTCTCCTGGGGTCGTCTCCGTGCTTGCAATACTTGGGTGGGGACAAGTAGGGCGAGGGCGTTGCAATGCAGTTGGTTCGTTGTGGAAGGTAAGCTGCGTTCTCCGTGCATAAGGTTTCTGTGTTTGCGTGTGTCTTTGATTGGGAAGGAGGTTTCAGGGTCTGTTGGTGAAACGGCGTAGAGAGAATACCTCGCCAGGTTTGATTATTCTTAGGTTCGATAATTGGTCAGGGTTCGATGTGCTTCGTTAACTGTAAGAAGGAGAGAGGATGAAAGGCTAATAATGAGGTGTTACTGAGAGTTTTAGAGAATGAGCTCCCCTAGTGCAGGCAACCTCGGAAAGCTAGAAGGCATTGTGTACACGAATGAATGCTCAAGTTAATTTGGTCGGGCCCGGAGTTTCTAGCTTACATCCCATTGCTCGCGTGACACCATACAAGTGCTCGCTCCGCTTCCAGAGTCCAGTCATCCCCTGTCTGTGCGTGATGATCGATTGTATTCCACAACCAGCCAGTAGCAGCTCACTATCATGTTGACATAGTCTGCATGTCTATTCAGTCTAAATAAGGTTTAGCTCCTACTTGGCACTGGCAGTTCTGAGCCTTGACATTTTTTTAACTGAGTATGAGATATTCATATGATGAGTAAATTCGTCTATAAACTTTGCGTTACTATGAAGCAAGTTCATGGTTCAACTAAATTGAAATACTCGTAGGCTGAGACATTTTTGACAGTATGGCCAAATTTCCATCCTGCAGGTATTATTGCGAGGCTACCGTACTTTGATTCTTTTCCTGAAATCATCGGCACTTTCGATTTTTTGACTTAGCAGCTATTCCTTAAGGTTTACGAGTGCTGATCCCTGCTTCACATGAAACTGAAAGTACATGTCATATCACATCAAGAGGTCAATCAGCTGTGCCATCGGACTTGGACTTTGGTTCAGGTCACTGACCTTGTCCAAGAGTTTGGTTCAATCGCCGCCAAGAAAATTTTGAGATTTAAAGTTGCAGCGACTGTCTGAAATTTGGATTTTCAAGATATTTCTGGCCATACTTGATTCGATTTTTCAGACGATAGGATTGAGGACGGAAAGTTGTCTTAGGTCATTGACATTTTCGGGTGAGATACTCTAAACAATTATTTTGAGGGATTGGGGGAGGATTGTGCTAATCTTCATTAGAATGCTCTTCTTAATTTAATGCTCTATGGCTTTCAGCACAGGAATTTTCGAGTAGTTGTGACAGCAAGATGTTTCAAACCTCTCCAACTGGAGGTTTGCCGTGCTTTTCTAGAGAAATGATGAAGATTCTTACAAGAAAGAGAAGTCTGTCGAACAGTTCCTCGACTTAGCTGACGGATGAAGCTGGTGCATTTGATTTGTGCCATATTTTTGATCGTGAAAGCTAAGAATCCAATTTCAGTCGCGTACGTCTACTTTGGAAGGAATAGATTTTTTGGAAGATGAAGAAAGGCATTGACTCGGCTTGATGAAGTTAATGCGAAATTTGTGGCGCAATCGAAAATGTGAAGATTTGCTGTTTCAAACACGGCCTGTGTTATCTTTGTTCTCCTCGACAAAACGAATGGGAATTATAGCGCAGGAGTGTCAAGAGGGATCTTTTGAAGACTGGTGAAATCCACCATGCGTTGCAATGCCTGCACAATTGCAGGGTTGGTTATTGTGTTGCTTGTGGTTACCGAAATTTTCTGGCTTGGCCATGGTATGGTGTCATCTGCACCATTCTCTTCTTCCTTCATTTCATAAATCATCTGGCATCATGCATTCATCCATCGTCCTTTCTTTGGTTGCACTTGGGAGTGGAAGTTGATGGTTTTAACGGCAGAACAGATGCTTATCCATCCTACAGCACAAAGAAGAATCTCGAGTTAATAAGGAAGGTCCTTATTAACAAATGGTGTCTGGTGTAACCTCATCGTTGATACTTTGTTCATGATATCGTCTGAAAGTTCTCTCTCATGAAGATGCTCACTCTGGCATATTGTAGACTGGCATAAAAATATACATTGCTTAATTTAAGTATATCTGTTGTACATGTGACTAACTTATCTTATATTTTGCGTTTTACAACAGCTTTGCCATGCCTTACAACGGATGAACCCCTTCCTCGAGTTCTTCCAACCCAGAAGTCAGGGTTTGATACTTCCAGCTTCCCATCTTCCGACAAGCTGCCCTCTAGTAATTTAGTGATACGTCCACTTCGGGCATCTAGAGTTCTAGATCTGCAACCTGCTTTGGCACCCCACGTTTTGAAGCTGCAACTGTTAGATTCTTTGGTATCAACTTCTCCTGGAAGCCCTTCTCGTCTTAATCGCACAAGATTCAGGCAACCGGTAGTAGCTGCACCAGCCCCTTCTCCCAGAACAAGAGGGCATCATCATCACAGCCACAGAGGTTAGATGGGGATTGCAAAATGAAATTACTACGTAGTCTGAAGACCTTCCTTAGTAGATAATTCTCTTTTCAATCTGGACTTATTCCTGGTTTCAACTGACGCTGAATATTTTGAAGTTCTTTCTGTAACTGTGATGTCCTGCAATTGCCTACCTCTTTACTTTTTCGTTTAAAAATATAGCTGTTTTACTTATCAGGATGTTGATTGAACAGCACCTGCTCCTGCCCCGGTTTTTGCCCCAGTGCCACCAATTGTCTATGCTCCGACACCAAAGAATTCCCAAGGTACAGATAGCTACAGAAGAAATCATACTCATGCGCTGGGTAAGCTGGAGTGAACAATGTGTTCATCGGCACTATTTCAGATCTTCAAATGTACAATGCTCATTACAATTCTGTGACTCAATCTTGGTGATCGACGTGAGGATGTGATTTTCCCTATAGACTGAAGTGATGACATGTGCTTCTGTTTACATCCCACAGATTGTAAAGAATGTGAAGACGGCTATACCAGTGCACCTGCAGGTGCCCCCTGTGGGTGTGTTGTACCAATGACTGCACGATTTCAATTAGCCATCAGCCTTGAGAAACTTTTTCCTTTGGTGGCAGAACTAGCTAAGGAACTTGCTGAGAGCTTATTCCTACAGCCAAGTCAAGTTCGAATAATGGGTGCGAATGCAGTTGAGCAATTCCAGGACAATACGGATGTGACTGCCCAGTTTGTACCTTTGGCTATGTCTTTTGACAACACGTTTGCAGGGCTTCTAGCTTCACAAATTTGGGAACATAGGCTGAAACTAAACGAGACCCTTTTTGGCCGTTATCTGGTCATCTTGGTGCGTTATCCAGGTAACTGCATCAGAAACGTTCGGTGGATATAATTTGATGTATCAGTATTTTTCAGGTGTCTGTATTCGTATTATTATCAAGTTGGCGTTTCCTCGGATTCAAAGTTTTGTTTCTTTCTACAAGAACTTGAACGAATTCCAAGTTTGATATGGTCGAAACTTATACAATGCCGAAATAACGGTGTCTTATGGAATTGGAAGTCTACTCTCGAAGTAGATAATAGGTTTTGAATGGTTGTCCTCAACTTCAGCTAGGTGCCAAAAAGCTGTCGTTACAACAAATGTGGCATTCCAAATAATTGATGGCGTTTAAGTGTCAATATGATGTAAGATGTTTTGTAAGGTGGGTAGCACAGGGAGTTTTACTCATCTAATTGGTTATCGGAAGATTCACTGATCTGCAGTTGTAGTTTCTATTTTTGGAATACGAGTAAATTTTAGAGTTTACGTTCATTTCCTAGTACACTTTTTGATATTTTCACCGTTGTTTGAAAGTCTTCAACTTTTTCTCTGTCTAGCTTTTTTTTCTTATCGTCCCAATCTGGTCTCTTTGATTCTCATATTAGGCCTTCCTCCCTCTCCACCTTCTCAAGCCGAACCTGAAACTGGACTTCCCCCAATTAGTAGTGGAGGCGCTGCGCAACGACCGATCGGAGTCGATCTTAACAATGTTAGCCACAAGATGAGTGGTGCAAAAATTGCTGTGATTGCTCTGGCATCGACGATGAGTGCAGTAATTTGCCTTGGTGTAATTTGGATGACGATGCTGAAGTGCAATGGCCGCGTTCAAGCTTTTGAAAAGGCTGCAGAACTCACTCATCCATCTGCCCCTAGACGATCAACTCGCTCAGGTAATTTTATGTCTTTCGAACTTAGAACAGAAATCAGTCAGTAATCTCTTCTCCCTCTCCGCAAGCATACGTTGTTGTAGGCTTTAACAAGGTAACCGGAAGACGATGAAACCAATGGAAATGTGTGCCTGCCTGTTGAAAGTTGCTTGATACTAAATTCACCCGCAGAATTTTTCTTTTTTGATGCCTAGCACCACAAATACAATGTGATCTCTTTACATTTACAGGTGGAGTCTCTGTGGTGTCTGGAAGCTTTCAATCAGCATCAGTCTCAGGCGAAGCAAGCATTCCAGTGTACACAGGAACTGCTAAGTGTTTCTCCATAGAAGAACTCAGTAGAGCAACTGAGAACTTTAAGCCTGGGAATATTGTTGGACAGGGAGGATTTGGAACAGTTTTTCAGGGTAGATTGGATGACGGAACACATGTAGCTGTGAAAGTCTTGACTCGTGGAGATCAGCAAGGAGGTAGAGAATTTGTTGCCGAAGTTGAGATGCTGAGTAGATTGCATCATCGAAACCTCGTTAAACTCGTTGGAATATGTGTAGAGGAGATGCGGTGCTTAGTTTATGAGCTCATCCCCAATGGGAGCGTTGAGTCGCATTTACATGGTGAGCGCTTTATTTTCATGGTGGCTGGATGTATTTGTGAGCCAAGTTCTATTGAAATCTTTCTGAGTTACTTTTTCATTTCAGATAATGTCACCAGGTTCGAGAATGTTCAAGTGTTTAGTCCGACGGAAGTTAATGACCACCAGTATAATACTTTTGAGGAAGACATCTTCGAAGTGAACGTATTTGAGTTTTACTATTAATTCTTAGTAACTTCTTTGATATTGCTGCCATCTCATCTTAGTTGGTTCCTTCCTGATATTGGATTCCGCAATTCATGAACAATTGAAAAAGTTTGCTAATTTAATTACCGGACTAATTTGCAGGTATAGATAAATTCAATGCTCCACTTAATTGGGAGGCTAGACTGAAAATTGCACTAGGAGCAGCGAGAGGACTAGCTTACCTTCACGAGGATTCGAATCCGAGGGTGATACATAGAGACTTCAAAGCTAGCAATATTTTACTGGAGATGGACTACACTCCTAAAGTGTCTGATTTTGGTCTTGCTAAGGCAGCTGCTGAAGGAGGAAACAGTCAGCACATATCTACTCGTGTGATGGGCACTTTTGGGTGAGTTCAATACTGATTGTGGTTTTTGTAGAAAGAAGGTAAATTCATAATGAGCATCATCTAAAAATTCATGATATGTCCTAAGATTGAGCTGACCGCTGTCTTACCAGTAGTTATGAGTCCACTTTGTAGCTTTACATAGTAAAACGGACCAAGATATTTTTTGCTTGTCGGACCAAAGTGACAAATTGAATCGATAATGCAGGTATGTAGCACCTGAATATGCGATGACGGGCCACCTTCTTGTAAAGAGCGACGTATACAGCTATGGGGTGGTCCTACTTGAACTTCTTTCGGGGAGGATGCCAGTTAACAGGAACAACCCAGAAGGGCAGCAGAATTTGGTCACTTGGGCGCGTCCGCTGCTATCATCTAAAGAAGGGTTGGAGATGCTGATGGATCCAGACCTTAAGGGTGATTTTCCATTTGACAACTACGCCAAGGTCGCTGCTATTGCTTCCATGTGTGTGCAGCCTGAAGTATCACACAGGCCTTTCATGGGTGAAGTCGTTCAAGCTCTAAAACTTGTATACGATGACTCAGATGCCAGTGGTTCCCATCCGATCGATTATTCTCCGGACCAAACCAAACTCGGGGTCTGTAATGATCCCCGAGCACGGTTTCTTCCGAACTCATCCTTCCTCAGCAGTGATTATGATTCAGGGCCACTCTACAAAAGCAGGGATTCTAATGGGCGTCCACTGTCAGCCTCGGCTGTTTTATCAGATTCTGGTAGATCTGTTTGGCACTTTTCTGCTTCCTTCCATCGCCAGAGCAATTCCGGTCCTCTCACAACTTCCACAGGTCAGAAGCCACCAGCGTGGTACAGATCAAGAGGCTCGAAAGCAGTCACAAAGAACGATCATGGAGCAGTCGGAGTTAGTGATTGTGATGGACCTAGAGAACACTCATCTATATGGCCGTAAAGTATCTCACAATATCTAGTTGTGGCTGTGTGCTGCAGATCATTTAACTGCGAGGTGGTTCATTTTCCGGACAGAGTTACAGTAAAGATGTTTAGGCCATTGCTAGTCGGAAATTGAAACATTGGTGTTCCAGTTACATTCCAAACCATTCCATTACTCAACTTCGCCAAGTCCATGTCTTCATCCCTTCATCTCAAATGTATCATTCTTAAGTACTACTGTAATATCTACAGTTCCACGCTCGTTGAGATAAGAAGTATAGAAGAATCAGGAATATAAAGAGAATCTGAAGTATGAAAAGAGTTTTTTTAAAGAATTTTTCCTCAATTCATGGCTGATTACCAACGAATTTTTACTACTAGCCACTTGACGCGAATAATTACAAAAAGGCCCTACAAACTATTAGTACACATCGCGGTCATGTTGGGATAAATTTTTTGTTGGAATAGATGAGATTTCTATAGCCACTGAGATTACAACTTTATCTTACACTACCTGCTTCAACAAAAGTTGAGTGTTACCACATCGCTTGCCTAATTTTAAAAATTGGGCAGGATGATATTGTCGCGAATAAATCCCCATTGGTGTCTTCGAGTGACGGCAAAATAAGTGATTGAAATCCATAGAAGAATCATTTCTGAGACGATGATGAAAAGCTTTCCTTACGCTCACGACTAACGTGCGACCACCCCGCAAGGTGTTCGCCCTTAATAGCCATCGCCATGGCGTCCCTTGATTGATATTCGAAGCACTTCGTGGCCGAAGGCTGCCATAAAAGAGTTGATTCAAATGTGGTTGATCCGCTTTCTCCCATAAGAATAAGAAGCGTTGTGTGTTTCTTAACACACTGCAAAAGTGATATCCACAAGCCATCTTTCCATGTAATATGTCACTCTTGAGTACATCTGAATAAAACTCACTCTGTGCAACGATAACTCACCCTGGGAGATCTGCATTATGCTAAAAATTTATGATTAAATCTCATCGCAAATGCTCCAAGTCCAACTCGTAGTGAGTACTGGTTTTCCTGGCCCATTGCCGAGGCTGCTTGTCATGTCTGTTGGGACACGCACAATTTGTTGGCCAATGTAAGACACCTTTCATGCTTATGTTCGAGTTCATCACTTTCTGATTTGAGGAAGGAAACAAGAAGTGTGTTACTGAGAAACAAGCTCAGAAAAAATACACAACCATGACACGTGTACTACACCCAAATTAAGATGGTCTGAAACTTACACAGAAGACTTAGTTTCTTTCCTCCCGAATGCAGCTTTGGTGTTATGGACGTCCTTCACTAGTTTCGTTGATGTTTTCGCAAGAACCTGCACCCCAGGATCCATGCAAGTTATCACACGTGAAAAACTAAAATAGACTGCAATGTACACCGTGCGGTTGAGAATCTACAGGTAATCGAGACTTAGCTCCACTTTTAAAGGGGCAATTGCTGCTAGAAGAGAAAAAGACATAGAAATATTACCTGTTTTGATTTGGTTAGAGACGTTTCCGTTTGTCCGTAAGCACTTGGCGCCGGCGTGAACGGCTTGGACGGAGTGAACGATTTCGGTGAAGGTGTTAACAACTTGGTCGAAGTGATTCGCCTTGGTGAAGATTCCACCGGTTTGGTGGGAGTTACCCGCCTGGTTGAAGGTGTCAATGGAAGTTTGGTTGGACTGCTGACTTTCTTGGGAGTGGTCGCTGGTTTGATTATTGTGAAATTATGCGGTGTCGAGGCTTTGGTTGAAGTAGATTGTTTCGGTGCAGAAGATAGAAGTGGCTTTCTGGAAGTAACTGTTTGTGTCAATTTCGAATGCAGCGCTCCTTGAACTTGAGAGAGATGAGTTCGAACAGTATCCACCAATTTGCTTTTGGGAAACGTAGAAGATCTATAGTGATCATAGAAATCTGAACTGTTTTCCTTGGCAACTCTGGCCTGTATTGCAGAAAGGTTTTCGCCAACTTTCTCAGCTCGTAGTTGTAAAGAGACAAGTTCAGAAGCTGTAGTTTCCTGTAGAAATAATGGATTTTTACGTAAACACAGATGTGATGACTGGAGCACGACTGGAGCGCACTTCGGCACCTCAATTTGAGACTTTGGAGCGGGTTTACGAAGAGGTCTAGTCAGGCCCTGCAAGCACAGATATTGGAAGATAATCAGGTTCACTCAGAAGCTTCCATTGAAATATTAAACAGTGAATGTAGCAAGTCCTTTACAATGACGAAAGCTTTCTAATGTAACTTGTAGCCAGAACAGAACAACTGATTTCAGAGCAAACAAGCAACGAAATGGAAGACTGATATTACGTACAATTTGCTTCGCCAATTGAGTGACCTTTCCTGCAAGTCCCATGCAGTGACTAGCTTGTTTGTTAGAAGATATTTTGACAGAACTTTTGGTACTTTTCTCCGGTCGGGTAAGTAGGCTTTGAGCATCTCCAATAGATTTGTTCATTTTGGAAAGTTGCTGTTCTATCCTCCTTACCTCCAAAGCCAATCCCAATACATGAATATCCTCTCTGGTCTGCGACTTTTGCCTGTTTAAAGCAACTCCAGGTCAAGCAAGTAAAATGGGACTAAAATAAACAGGATATTAGACATGGACATTACAAACTTGAACAAAGATATATTGATGCAAACCCCCAAAAACGTGCGAACGAAAATTAGAACACACCTCTCTTCTTCCAAGGCAAATCCTACTTCACTATCCTGAGTAATGAACGTGGGATTGTCAGTCGTCGTTTGCAGCCCTTTCATTTCGGTAAACAGAGTATGCTGAGATTTATGCTCCCTGAGCTTGTTAAACCCACCAAAATTTGCAGGTATCATGACTTTCGATGGGACCTATATCACATTTATTTTCGTGAGGTCGTGAACCCGAAAATAATCCGTGCTGATTTGTGTCTACAAGGCAGAGCTAGATAATAGCAACTTCGGAACTGCCATCCTAAATGTAGACAAAAAATAAGGTGTAGCTGTTACCTGCGTGAAGGGGGCGTTATCAAAAGTTTGATTTTTGTTCACGTGATAAGTACTTGCAACAAGACTCAAAGGTTGCTTGTTCGCGCCCGCCTTTCCTTTCCTGTTTACAGATACTGTATTCATGTCTCTACCACTCTCAGATTTTATGGAGTTGTTCCCAGATGTAACATTCTCGTCCTCGCAAATAAGAGAGGAATTCTTTTCCGGCAGAGGGACATCCTTAGTTGGTATAAATTGCAAAGACATTTCACCTACTCTTTGTTCAGCAGTTAACCAAGAATCGTCGCTTGAAAATATCAAGTTATCAGAGCTTTCCAATTCTAATTTCCTATGAAAGCTTATCATAGCGGGAGGCTTCTCTTCTCTTAAGCATATATCTTTCAGTTTGGAAAGCAACTTTGCCGAATCAGAGACGGAGTTATCGATCAGAATCATAGGCTCATCAAAGCGCATTTCCAGACGCTTCTTCTCTGGAGAATCTTCTCGGGATTTCAGAACTTTAGTTCCTGAATCTGCGTTATGAAGCACTTCTTCAGGTTGCTTCGCTTGCATCTCGTCAATATTCTCCAGAAATATCTAACGGTTCATTTCCAAAGATGAAATTAGTCCAGTTGCCAAACAAGACAATCATTTTCGACAATGAGCATCAAAACTAACTCTTGGATAAGTTGTAATTTAAATCAAGAAGTTCCACTTTCTTCGAAAGGTGCAAATCAAAGCTAGTCACCACAGTCTCAGACGAAACCCTTCATTAACAGTAGGTGCTATCGTACCTTTATTTGGGATTTATCAGACAAAGCCATTCCATTCGATGATTTTGATTCCTCGGGCTGCGATTGTACTTGGCACAGCTTCGCTTCCAATACTGACAACTGGACATCCTTATTTCGGAGCTCTACCTCGGCGTTCTCCGTCATCTTCTCAACAGTAGTCTCATGTTTAGCAAACTGAGTCTTCAACTCATCCCTGTCCCATGAGGAATATTCAAATGATCAGGAAAGGAACTTTTGGTGCCCAGGCTCCAGTGATTAACGACCCAAAACAACGATGAAGAAGGAATAAAGAAATGAACATAAATATAAGATTAAAAGAGAATAATAGAATAAAAGTGACAAAGACTACCAGAAACCGTAAGTAGAAATGAGGCAGAGATTAGAGATACATAAAAATGCATTAGCGAGCGCAAGACGTGAATTGCGGGTAGCCAACTATTACTGAGGATAATCCTTACTTTGCACTTTTGAGCTCCACTTGAAGTTTCTTGATGGACAGCTGATGTGTCATTCCCATTCTCTCACAACACACACATACATCATCCTTCACAATGTCCTCCGAAAGTGTTTCATTTTTCTCGATTTTAACCTCAGTTAAATGCTCATTCGTAGCTGTTGACGCATTGCAACCCAAGTCATCAACTTTCGTCCTTGATTGAGCCAATTCCGACTCCAGTGTTATCAACTTCGATCTAAAAGCTGATAGTCTTTCGTCTTTGGCTCGCAAGTGCCTTTCGAAAGTCTCAATCTGACTCCAGTGCTTCTCATCTATTTGCGTGGCAAAACGCCCCTTCACTACTTCAAACCAAGCTTTGCAAGTCGGGTCTGAAAGTGGCCCTGCAATTGGATAATATTGAATGAAATCACCATACAAGTTTTCTCGGTTGCAAAATACAACCATTCCAAACAATGACCTCCATACAGGCCGGACTTAGACGAAGAGCTTGTACAATCTATATTCGACGTAGATGCACGCATGCAGTATGTCCCGAAGTCGTCTCAATTACATACTCAATTATACTCCCATACCAAACAGATCGAGCAACGAAAACGCCTGATTAACTATCAAACAAAACAAGGAAATTCACACGAGTTTCCCGATAGTTTGTAAAACTTCAAGCACAGTTCTAATTTGGTATCAAAGAATGATGAGAACGAGTACCTTGCAGATCTGCAGACAACAGAGCGGGCATGGAAAACGTAGACGCATCTCGAGCCTTCGCTTTGTACATCTCGACTTGTTTCTCTAGAGCTTCAACCTGTCTACTATAAAAAGTGCAGAGGTTGTTCACTTCCTCGAGGTGAGATTGCTGAAGATCCGCAATTTTCTCTAACTCGGATCGATTACCCAAGCTGCGGTGACTGCGATGTCCTGTCCTACCCGCATCCGGAACTTCGTCACTGAGATTCGTCCGGGTCCTTTCCGCTGCTAACCTTTTCCACCGCCCTGACTCTGCTTCAGCAACTACTTTTGCAGCCTGTGCGGCCGCAAGCTCCCGAGCAAGATCCTCTTTCTCTTCTCTGTCAAATGTAGCTCGATCCAACATTGTGGATATCATCACATCTTTATCTTCCGACTCCTGCCTCATGGTCGCTAACTCATCTAAAAGCTTTTGGGCCATAGCCGAGTGGTCATCAGTAGCAATGCGTAGAGATTCAAGGTTTAATTTAGATGTCGCGAGATCCTCTAAAGCTTTCATTAAGCGATGTTCTGTCTCCTGCTGCCCCTTTCGAACTTCATCAAGAATAGCTTCCCGCTCCTTTGAATTAGCCAGCTCCTTGTTAAGTCTTTCCTTCAGTTCATCGGCAATTTTTTTCACCGCAGTGAACCTTATTGTAAGCTGGAGATAATCTTCCTCTTTCTTCCTAATATCTACTATTTTTCTTGCCACAAACTCTTGCTCTTTCAGTGCTTTCTCTAGGTCTTTCACGCGTTTATTCTTAATATCACACTCGTTGCATTTTAGCGAACTAACATTGGGGCTACAAAGACCATTGATCTCTGCACGGATTAGGGACTTTCTAAGAATGTCAATCTCATGACAAAGCTTCTTTCTCTCAGCCTTCCATCCATGCTCACGATTGGCGTAAATGCGTACAACTTTCTCGTTGGCTTTAGCATCCTCTGCTCTCCTACGCTTCAATTTTCGAACTTCTTCCTCGGCAGTAGCTAATTTCTGTAGTACACTAGCCTTTTCTAGATTGCACTCTTTCCGATGATTTTCACCCGCCTCTGTAGATTCAGTGAGCCTGTCCTGTAGATTTTGGGCATTTCGAGCTAAGTTTTGAAGTCGCTCCATTGATCCTTTCAGCATGTTCTGAAGAACCATCTTTTGCATTTTGGGATGACTATCTTTCTCACCCGCATTCACTCTGTTCCCATTTGCACCACGGATAAGAGCACCCAACGCTGCGAAAGCCAATGCAACCCCAAAATATTCAGCGAGTAGAGGCCACGGCTCTTCTTCTTGCAAGTCCAAGTATTTACCCATGATATTCTTGCGACCGGATGTGAGGTCTATCAAAGGGTTCATCGAGTCGAACTGCCTGGGATTATAGTTATCGAGCTCCCTAAGAAAATCATCTGTTTCGATACCCTCCATTTGCGCAGGCTTAACAGATAAACTTAGAAAACCGGATACCTACTATATCATTGACCTACAGGAATGAAGCCTCGTCGATAACTCCAGTAAAGCCTCTTGATCTCCAGCAAGTTTCGTCCTCTACGTGTCTCCTTGCTTTCAGCAAACGATTTCGGCTAAGAAAATTTCCTGGCGCGTCAAAATACGAGACGCCATTAAGCAATACTCTACTGCATAAATCACTGCAACAAAATCTCTCTGTGCAAGGGGAGATCGTAACTCAATGCGAAGTAACATAAATGAACATGAATGCATAATCGTCAGAACATTTGAGACACTTCACACCTCGCGTCAAGGGCATTCAAATTTGAAGAGCGTGGATGAAACACAACAGAATCTAAGGACGTCGAGTAAGGCGAAGTCACCAAATCCACAACACGCTGCTCTAACAGCATATTTCACAACAGTGTTAGGATGTACCTCAACGGACCATGCAAAAAGACCAGCGGGCATAAATCCTTCTCCTCACAACCAAACTGATGATCATTGTAAGGACTCCAAATCCTTCAATCTGTTCCCTCCAAGACACCCACGCCGCTCAAAATACCTCCAGGTTAAGAAATTCGAATCCTCAAATTACCGTTGCAGTGCATCACCACAACAAACTCACGCACTCGGGCAGGCCTTCTACTAACTACAACACCACGATACTGCACGGCAACGCAACTCTCCTTCAGGTGCACGCAATCCGTGTACATGCTCAAATCAGATCCTCTCTTCGTCACGTCGTGACACAAATAGTCCCCGTACCTCGGCGACACCCTGAACCTGGTGGTGGTGCTGCTGCTGCTTGTATAATCCGGCTTCTTCGCAGAACCAGCTCGAAATAACAATTCCCTGAGGCTCTCTCTCTCTCTCGCTCTCGCTGGCTCTTCCTCTACTGAACTCGGAGACAAAGTCAGAAAACCAAAAAACAATTCCTCGTCAGGCTTGATCCCGTAGCCAAGGTCATGAACGAAACCAACGCAGCAACGTCTGCGGCTCCCTCACCCAAGCTGCTTCTCCTGATCCTGATCTGAGCAGCGCAAAGTTTTCGGACCAAAACACAAAAACGAGATGCGAGGTCTACGACGATCGCCGAGTTCGTTACAAATTCGCGCTCTGCCCGCTGGATTCGAATCCCGAGCTCGACGACTGCCCGCAGCCTTTCGGGGAGTGCCCGCCCTTCGCGCATTCAGGACACACTTCCGGTGGACCCCGTCTTATGGACGAATGAATTCATTCGTCTATTTTCCAAACGATGAATGTGCCGTGGTTGCGCGCTGGGACACTGGGCGGTTCGAGAACGTCCGAGGTCTCGTTCGAATGCGTTCCCAAGCCTGTATCGTGCTTTGTTCATGAAGGAAAAATTAAATAAACGTGAAACTAATACCTCAAAGTTACATAATTGTTATTCATTCATTGGTGATTATTATTTTGTAAATATTATAGGTTTTCACTTTTTCACTTTTTTTACTCGAGAGACATGTCTGCTTTTGATAGAAACTACAATTTGCTCACTTTGACTTGTTTTCATAAATGTAAGTATTATCTTGTGAAGATTTAATTGTTGTTTAAGTATTTATTTATATCATTATTTCATTTGCAAGGAATAAAATCTAAATTATTGTATACATCATTATGGTTTATAATTACCATATGTTGATGGAACTTTTATGTAATACTCCTTAATACTCGTTCCATGATTATGTATCTATATGTAAATATAACATTTACACGTTTACATTCAACAAACTGTGCTGCAAGACACTTTATTCAGAGTTTTTATTTTTTTTCACGAATATTGAACAAAGGAATAGAGAATTTTTGGATTCTGTATTGTTGACAAAAAAACTCTTCTTTCATTGTAATTTTATAAAAACCAAACAATATGCATATCTTTGTGAATATTCATTATATATATATATATATATATATATTTTCATTCACATTCACATAAGTACACACACAATCATATTCACCATCAAACTTTACACTCTAAGGTCAACATACATATTCCGTTTTTAAACTTGTAACTTTACATGCATATTCAGTTTTTAATATATTCATAAAAAATAAATACAACCAAATCTTTCCACTCATTTTGCCAGGTCCAGTAAGAAAGGATTTGATTTCCTTGTCATTCTATTTTTAAGGATAATTAGTTTGTTGAAAATCCATGGCACTTGCATGCACAAACTTGTAATCATTTGCATAGTAGTTCTTGCACAAAGTACACTGATCTGATTTTAAATAGACTTAAATTTATGCATATATAAAGGGAATTGTTAAATTGACCCATGCTTTAGCTAAATCAACCCATCATGTGACTAGGGTGATCTTTGTGCATGTTTAATTGATAAGAATAATTTTCTTTCAAGTCCTACTAAAGCCCTACCATAGCGCTCATCTAATATCCAGTAGCAGTTTTTGAAGGTTTACAGTTGTAAAAAATGAAATGCATGACAGTCACAACAATCACCACACGATGGGTCAATTTATTGAAAGGGTGGATTGATTTTACAATTTTCTATTCATGTATGTATGTATGTATATATGTATGTAGAGGAAGTAAGGTTAAAATAAACACAACATGATTTTTAAGTTGCTTCTAGTTGCAAACTTTTTGAGTTTAAAAAAGAAAGTAATATTTAAAATGCATTAAATTCTGTTCTATTACTTGACTGATTTCATGTCCACAATTGTTTATTAATACATCTTGAGTCAAAAGCATTAAAATATGTGTGGAACAAACTTTCAAATCCTTGTTTTTATTTCATGCTGGTCTTATTATCCTATGCTGTATCTGACAAAAATAAGAACTGAAATGTTATATTATTTGATTTGTGGTTTCACAATGTTAAATAAGGCTTAAAACATGTTGTTTACTTTTTTAAATCCTGTATTATTCCAAGCTCACAATGCATCTTGAATAAAATAACAATATATTAATCCAAACTAAACAAAGTGATTTTAAGGAACTTTTTGAATTGTGATACTTAAAGTATTTTTACAAATGTTTGCAATAATTTTAAAAGAAAAACATAAAAACTCCAGGATACATAAGAGGACTATTTACAAAAAAACAAAAACAAAAACAAAAACAAAACAAAAAAAATAATTTAATTTTTTATTTTACTAATATATATATATATAGAGAGAGAGATAGAGAGAGAGAGAGAGAGAGAGAGAGATGTAAAAAATTAAAAAAACATGTGTTTATATGTTTTTATACAGTCATATTTCATACTTGCATGTTTTCAAAGTTGATCAAAACTATTTTATGTTACACACATGTATATGTGTATATATATATATATATATATATATATATATACATGTTTGAGATTATGTGAATTTTGATCCTTTTTTGTTTGACGAATTAAAAAATACCAATTCTTCATGCACTATTTCTTCCTACGTTGACTTCAACGTGAATATATATACTTCCTGACACTATTTAGAACCAAATTCATGCATAAAATTCCATTGTTATTTAAAATTTTAGAACGATATATATTTCTAAACTCCAAATCAATAATTCATATAATAATAAAAAATACCATTTTGAATTTTTATTGTAATTTTACACAGTGTAAGACTAAAACAAAGGTGAGGTTCAATTATTATTACGGACACATGGCAGCTCAAGCGTGGCTGAAGCATAGTCCACGTGAGGTGAGGGATTGGATGATAGTGTTGCACGGTGTCGAGGATCATGCCCATGTCCTACCACCAAACAGTACCCACTTCCGTGGAGGTGACGTCAACAACCACTGAACGATTCCGGGATGGAATTGGCACGAGAGGGGACACACCTCCAAAAGACGAACGAATGAAGAACAATATGAATACCTCATCATAGGAATATCATCCACGGCATTCGTACAATTATTGTCCAAGTGCCGACACTGGGAATAATTTGTATTCTCTGAATTGTTAAGTCCACGTGGCAAAGACTCGCTGGCACTAATGGTGGCACATTGCGCCTTTCGTTATTCAAAGCAACTTTTATTCAGTCTGAGGGTCGACTTTAAATAAAAAGTTTCACGAGGAAGGGCAAAGTTGCTGCTGCCTGGGGACAAACGAACAGACCCGGAGGCCGCGTGAGCGGAGTCATGGGAAGAGCTCCGTTGGCCCATCGACCAGGTCTCCGTTGGAAGCGCACCCTATTTCCGTCCACAAGAGGGCCACAGCGCCGCGTACAATGCCTCCACATCTGCTATTTGGGGGGGGGTATTAGTTGGGCTATTGCCAGCCCCTTCCCAGCCAAGGCCAACCTGGACGATACTCCTTTTATATATTTCTCTTTTTTTGTTAATATTCTTGGCGCTCTCCCCAAAAATTGCATTATAGAACTGCATTATGTGGGTGAATGTGATGAGAATGGATACAATTTTCACTAGAACATTCCTAACATGGGGTTACAAATAGCATGATCCACCTTTTCAACTTTTACTTTACGTTTCGAAAAAGAAAAAGTTCGACGGTATTTTGTTTTGTGCTTTTTGTGCTTTGTGTGCATTCCATTTCACGTTTTTGTTTTATTGAGCGTTATTTTCTATGTATTATTGGTACAAGCTACTGCTTGAATACTTGTTTAGTTTCACTCTCTTTTCCTCTTCGCTTATCTTTTGCTGTTGATGTGTATTTGCCTTGCAGTATGAAAATCTTGCATGGGCCTCTATAGTTGCCAATGTTTTAAGAATTCCTTACGCTGCACAGCTCCTGGTTAAAAATTAACATACATGTTTTTTGATTTTTTTTTTTTGGATTCTTAATGTGGGTAGCCATTTTATGTCAAAAAGGTTTGCTGGATTTTAATGCTAGCTTGAATCTATTTTTTAACATTTACGGTCATAAAATTAAATTTTATTTCACTCACAAAATCCTTACGGAAAGAAAAAAAAGAAAAAAAAGCCTTTGCTCTGAACTGAGGGTATGATCGTTGACGTGGAACATGGGTCACATTGTCAGGTTCAGAGTTACATCAGTCATGTTGTATAATCTGTATACTATGTGGGAATCTGCCACCCTTCAAAGTCTGATGATGGAATCAGGTACTCTACTTGTGTCGATTGAGATGATGTGAAGCAGTACTTGTATCTGGAGTACACCGTATGGTACCGAAATTAGACAGGTTACGCACACAATTTCCAATTCTGTTCCATTCCTGCAGTACCCTGTCTCTTGCACGATTACAGATCCAGATTAGGGTGCGACTTCAAGGTTGGTGTGCTGACAAACCCAATTTATACTTGGTAAGCACTGTGTAATCACTGGGGTTAACAATGCATCAATTTTAGGTTGCTACTGCAAAATTGTATCATCCACGTCAAACACCTCAGATTTTCAAAACGTGGCATTGAAGTCCTTTACCTGTGCAAGACTCCCAAGTATTCTTCACTAACCTGCCCATGATGAACCAGGTGATGGTCCAGCCCCATTGCCGTGCAAGAATTCATATGTGTGATATGAATGCAGAGATATAGGGATCCAGTGGGCAACTATTGTTAAGGATTTGGTTGGGTAATAAAGAATCAAGAATACCTGAATTCTTCCAGTTCATGTACATAAGCTAATTGAAAAGAAAATTTGAGATTAAAAGCTCCCAGGACACCATAAATACAAAGCCTGGAAGTTCACAAACTCTTCTGAAGAGTATATGATGAATTACTACTGTATTCGGAACCAACTAATATATTGACAACCTCCAAACAAAGTAGGGACCGTATCATAGGTCACACGAAAATTTCCTAACAGAATGTTGAATACCTTCACAGCTACCGCCGAAATGGCAGCTTTAGAGCCTCAAACCGTGCTTCCAAATCATCATCCTCAATTACCCTTGGAGAGGGATCAATGTCGAAAACCCTTACAGTGGTTGAAAAGTCCGACCCTGGCGGGTTTGTGCTTGGCGGATAGCTACAATCTGTTTTAGGCGTGAAAGAGTAATCATTCGAGCCATACTTTTGTGTACTGGAGAAGCGCGAAGGATTGTCCTCATCTTCGTAGTCAAAGCGTGCAGACCGTTGAAAACTCCCAAGACGCGAAGGCTCACGGGATCTACCAATCGATCCTTCTTCGTCAAATAATGGAGAGCCTTCACGGCCCTTGGCATCAAATCTGGAACTGTTTAGCCTACCAGCAAAAGGTTGGTCATATGATGAATGGTTTCCTTCCACTCTTGATAAATCAGGATCGTCGTAATGGTTACGATTACCAGTGTCCATCACACTGTAGTGGAGTGAAGTTTTGCCACTGTCAACATCAAAGGTGTGTCTGTCGGATTCCTTTCCAGATTTCCAATTGAAGCTGCCTGATTTACTCCTAAATGTGCTACTGCCACCATAGGTTCGGCTCTCACTTTCTTGCGTTGCAGCCCTTGCGGTGATTGAGTTTTCACCACCACTGTCGTCGTCATCAAATGCCGGCCTGCTTGAAGTATCTTCTGTTTGAAAATCTAGTTTGGTTGCCTTCAACGGGGGCCTCTGATCTTCAAATAACTCAGACGGATCAGTGCGCTCATATAAGGCATTGGACCTAGGTTTCTTCCCACCAGCCCCCCTGCCACGAGGTACGTCATACTCAGCAGTATCGCTATCACTATCACTAAATCTTGCTGGTGCTGGGCTCCTCCCTTGACCAAGTCTGCTCTGAATGGAATTTACTTTCAATCGAAGATTGCCGTGATCGTCGTCATCATCATCACCATCACTGTCCAAATCTGTAGCGCTTTCCTCGTCCTCAACTGGAGGAATTGAATTCTGTCTTCCAAGCTTGTCAGGCACCCTGGTGCCAAAATCACCGCTTTGCTTTCGAGCCAGCTCAGCTGCAGCTCGCGCAGCTGCTACTGCACGGTTAGCTGAGTCAGCAGCGGCTTTTGCAGCGGAAGCCACATCGAAGTAATTACCTTGGTGTTCCTTTCTCGTCGACACAGAAGTGCTTGACTTGGCATCAGATCTCAAATCCGAAGAAGTCGCTTGGTGTGGGACATGTGACACCTGATCAACTGTGTCCACCTTTCGAATAGGAGTAACTGTCGGTGAAGGAGGCACATACTTTGTAGGTGAAGGAGGCACATACTTTGTAGGTGACGGAGGCTCGTACTTTGTAGGTGGAGGGATGTTCTTAAACGGGATTTGGGGCTCTCTCTCGTCCTCATGTAAAGATCCAGATGAAGATAGTCCAGACAAGTCCGATGACATTCGCGACAAAGTTCTGGTGGGAACGTCCCTAGCAGCATCATAGGTCCCACTGGATTGTGAACGGGCTAATTGGGGAGGGGGCTTCTCATTTGCTCCAAGGAAATGATTAGGTCCATCCTGTACACAGAAAATAAATTCAGAAAAGCAAGAAAAAGCAAATGATAACATCATTTAACAAAATCCACGCAAAAGAAATTGAAAAAGTGGGCAAGAAAAATCACATTGATATTCTGCTAGTATTATTTGTTAATCGTAACGGGTCCTACAACACAATATAAACAGTGTGAGGAGAGTGAAAGTGTTGGGAACAGGATCAAACAATGAGTCCGAAGACTTACGAGCAAATCTTCGTGAGATTTTGTGAGTTCTGCTTCAGTATCTGCAGAATCCCAGCTAACACTATGCTCAGCAGCAATCTCTTTCAGCAACTTCAGTTTCACCTCTCCAGAAGGCGCACGTACCGAAAGCTTTTCTATTATCTGCAATTGACACCACACAAGATAACATCCAAATATAAATATCAAGCATCACCGTAAACAAAATTAGAGTTCAAAATTGATACGTTAGTGCTAACAACTTCAATTTTTCATCCGTGTCCAAGTTTTTGTGCAATGATCCACCTGGAGAAATCATTGTGCAGTGAAAGAAACTTTTTTCGTAGATATCTCAACTTCAACTAAGGTACAGTCGAATGCATTGAAGACAATATAAAAACTGAATTCCAAGAAGATACCTACCCGACGATTGACACCACAGTCGGGACGGAGCTCTGCTGCAGCTGCGGCGAACTCTTTCCCATATTTAGCAGCGAAAAGTTGGCGGATTTGTAGAAGTTCAGGCAAATCAGAACAGCGTGGAGACGCAAATATCAAACTTGAGATGGCCTCCTTCAAATCCAAGGGACAATTTCTGCACATTCAACATGGCACTCATTATCCACTAACAAAATTGGCATTCGTAACAATTTTCAAAGTGGTGATACAACCGAAGTATTACAATGAGTATAACTGTGAGTTAGAGAAACAGGGGAGAAGACGACTCTATTAGAACAAGATAGCTTACTTTTGAGCCTCTATTATAGGAAGTCGGACAGCCACAAGTTCGGAGAATAGTTCAAGTATGTCATATGCTGCCAAAATATTTTGCTCTCGAATAATGTGCTCAACCTGGTGTTAAGAGTTTCATTTGGATGAAACAGGTGCGAGAATGAAATATGTGAATAAAGACACTTCAGAAACAATTGAATCATCGGTCTGTTCTCATCCAGGACATGAAGGTGAATATGCTAATGCCTGACTGGAGCTCGCGGAAAACTCAGTTAGGACGGCAGTTTTAAACCTTGGAATGAAAGGAATAGGTGAAGGAGAGACACGCACGCGTATCCTTGCACTGGGCTCTTGTCCACTGGTGAGTAGCTGAGCAATCTCTTTACGCATCTGCTTGACCTGAAGGTCTCTCTTATTTCGTAATAACTTAATGCGTGCCATTGCCAGCTTCAGCAATGTCTTACTGCAAAGTCAGAAATGATAGGAAGATGGTTATTAATCAAATTTAAATCATCAAAGGCATGATATCAAATGCGAAGTAAACGATGGGAGGTCACAACGGACAAGCCTATGTGAGTATTACCAGCTTCACCATGATTAATTGATCAGATCAATCAGAATTCCACATCTTGGGCACCGGTTGTCATACTCACCATTTCTGGGTTTTGAAGCCCTTCCCAAGCATAGAATCCCACATGGTGACGGTGGTGGTTCGCGCAGCTTCTGCTTGAAAACGAAACTCCACGTCTTCGTAAGCTTACCTGAGATTTCATGTAAAACCAAAATAAGCTTAGACTGTAACCACTGCACCAAAGCCCATGGTGCTGGAAGCCATCCGAAAATATAAGACATTGACTCATAGTCGTTGGTAGTGTTAAAATGCCTTTCATCAAAAGATCTCAACACTTTACACATTAAATTTGTCGATATTCTCAAAAATGACCCTCAATGGTGCAAAGAAAAGAGAAATTTGTCACGTAATAAATTTGCACTTGAAAGAATATCAAACTCAACAAGAATAAAAACAGTATCTCTAACTTCTGCCTATCCTCATAATTCAAAAAATCTTTATCAGAAATTTGCAGAAGCGTAATTCAGACAAACAGCAGCTCCAATCAGCCAAGCAATTGTCATCGTTTTGACTATTATCATAATCTATTCGACCTTAGGTTTCATCTTCATCGTGGAACGTGAAAGCAGCACGAAATGCTATTGAAGTAAGGTAACCTACTTAAATGACGCAGTAGTCGCGAATTCAAGTATGAATCTAGAGATATTAATGCTGCAAAATAATGCACGTAGGTGAGTTTGTACAGGAGGCAACTACTGCACTGTTCGAATCAAAAAGTTAAAGACTTGATCCATGCAATGCCTTCTCTGCATTAACTGTATAAGGTGTAACACATGGGAGATGGCCGTGCAGAGGTAAGTCTAATTTGCAAAGCTAATGCTGTTACTTGAAATGTAGTGCGCCCTCTCCTCTTCTAGACCGATGGAGAATCTGGAATACGAGCGTTTACATCACAGAAAATCGTGTGGCTGCAAATTCTTGATCCTATGAAAGCAATTCAAGATATCATCATTTTGGTAAGCACGATCAGATAAAGAGCATCCACCATAATAACCTCTTCGACCAATCCCCGGCAAGCTGGCGAGTGAAATGCACTCCAGAGATCCAAGGATTTTCTATGCAAAAAAACGTTTCTGCCTAATTCTCAAACACAACGTCGGAAATTCCAGTCCCAGGTACTGAAATACTACAGCTAAACCTGACCCCTCAACTGGATGATCTGTACTAGAAAAACAAATAAACACTTTGACAAAACTGAAAGAGAAACTTTTAATTCCATAAAAATCAACATTTACTTGAAATGCAAACGAGAACCTATCCATTCATCTACTGCAAACGCAAGTTCTAACATTTGCAACGGAACACACATCTATAACCACGAAATCAAATTCCAAATAACCGTGATAAATGAGACGTGAAGGACACATTGACCACCCTCGACAATGAGGACTCTATACGGCCGGAAAAATTTCGACACCACGCCACAGATTGACAAACCTCACAAGCTTCTTTTTCAAAACGGTTTCCGCACTTCCTTCTCGCGCCTCAGAGAATACCAGTCCACGCAAAAGATCCAATCAATCAAAGTCTCCTCGGAACCAGCAGCTCACACTCCACATCGAGAAATAATCAGACCAGAATCAACAACGCCGAAGCTCTGCGACGATAGATCATCGCGAGAGAATACGGGAGCTTGCAAGTAGGGTTGCCCAGTGAGAGAGAGACGAAGTTCCCAATCACGTTCCTACCACAGTTCCCTGTGTTCTCGAGCCGTTGGAAGCATGAGTACGTGCCGGAACTTTAACGAATGTTGGAGAAAGTTTGGATCGGGTACAAGAATCCACAGAATTTCTGAGACATAATACGTTTCTGAAGATTCGCTTATGAAGGGATCGTTTTCAGAATTTTAGGATCAATCAACTGAATTAATTACTTATTTTAGATTATCCACGTCCCCCGCCAACTGCGCCTTTTCGCAGGTTTGTTGTTTGCAATCTTGGCGGGACTATGCGTTGTTTTTTGAACGGGAGAGTCAGGTTGCTGCTCAAGCACATTGCAGCGGGGAGCTGTAAGTATGAAGCTCCATCGCCACTGCTATGGAGTGGGAAGATCGGATGGGAATTCGTGAGGCAGAACTGCAGCTATCGGTCATGGCAACTATGGCGGGCTCTCTGTTGTCTTACCCGCCCTCCTCCGTGACTTTGGGATTGTGTCCATGCCATCCGTGCTTGCTTCAGCTTGATTCGTAGCGGCAATAAGGTTAATGTCGGTTGAACTCTGCTGATTCAGGACGATACGTGGCGCAGATTGTCTTCCAAGAGCCGTACATGCGCTGGAGAGCAGGTAACACATCAAAATTGTTGTATATGATGGTAGTCGTGAAATCTCGGTTCGCTATGGTCCTATGAGATGGATTGCTTCACTCCGGACGTTTTTGAGAAATTTAGTCGAATGACGTTGTTCTGAGTTATTTGTTTGTTTGTTTGTTTTATTTTTCTGTCGGTGGGTGGGGGAGCAGTTGACGAGATGCGGAGAATTCTATGTATTGATGGCAGGAGTTGCAATTGCACTTGTTCCAAAACAGTTTGTTCATCATGCGATAAAAGTCATTTAGCTATGATATTGAGTGATCAGTAAATCACTGGTGAAACATCAGATGTCCCGGAAGCTGTTTGCACAACGCTCTGTATTCTTGCTCGGTTCTGTACTCGACGGCAACTTCTGATTCAATTGCAGATCTTACAGATTTTGTTAAATACTACATCACTGCAGATTCTTGTCCTCAAGCTTTTACTTAACGGTCGCTCTTTGTTTTCGGCTTTGGCTTTATAGTGGGAACAACCAGCTATGTGCGAGATTCATGTGATTTCGTTGAATTAGATATTAGGATGCTAATAATGGCAAATTGAGACGAATGTATTGACTGCAAGTTACTGTTACAACGGGTATCAAGAGTTGCCCTAATTGGTATGGTGTTGGGTGTATGTCATTGCCCATTGCAGACATATGAGTCTGTACGAGGTAACGCAAAATGCGCATAACATGGGCATGATATTTGTCACACAGTATCTTTCGCCAGGTAATGTTGAAATTGGACGATAGATGGTTGAGGAATTTTTTTGAGATCGTCCATGAAGGTTTCATGTACAAAAGTTCCTGTGCCCACCAGGTTCTAGTAAAACTATCCAGTAAGAATGGGATCAATCTACTTTGGACGTTGCAGTGGTTAATAATTGAAGGCATGATACACTTCCTGTCTGGATAATTTTAGGGCCAACCTGCGCGACTTGCACCGATTATACAAACTGAAAGCACTTTCCTATACAAAGAATCTGCAGTCTGCCTGACGAGATGTGCTTGAAGCGTACCGAACAATCTCGGAAAATGTTAGATTAATGGTTTCTTTAGTGGGAATTGTTAACCGGGACTTGAATCTCTAAACCTCTAAACTTGGTCTCATCTTAAGACCCTGGTTTCTTCAAGCTTATCCGACGGAGAACTGACGTCGATATCCGACAACGATACAATTATGTAATGAATTGCTGGGTTCGCTTTGATTTTATACTACGAAATCTGCTTTTGCCGAACGGTTGCATCACCCATCACCTTACTGTTGATCATCGGATCGAGAGGAGCATGCGATGATGCAGACGTTAATCGAAATCCTAAAAACCTTAGTAGTACTGCATCTAGCAATACTGTACCTCTACCTTGTTCCTGAGCCAGTCATCACGGCTGTACAGATGCAATTATTAGTCGTAGATATTCATAGCATATTGTCCAGCTTCCTCGAAACAAACAGATATAATTCATTTTCTGACACACTTGAACATGATCATGTGTAAGAAAACGAGACTCTGATTGACCAAAGTTACGGTGCTCCCGATGCTTACAAGCAATCCTATCTGGTATCTAGATCCTTTGTGGCCCTACAGCCACCCTCTTCGTTTGGCTCTTCAACTCCCATCACCGATTTGAGTTCTATTCTGCTGAAAGTGATGCATAATTTTGAAACCACGCCCTTTCTGAAGTTCAATGTAGTTCCTAGAATACTTGACAAACTTTCAAATTGAATTGCGATTATGTCATCGACTATGTTCGAATTAGGGGGAATGTTATTGATTACTTTGCACCTCAGATATGCTGAAATGAAAGTCATGTGCGAAGGGTCTCGTTTTGGTCCAGTTAAGCAGCAACTTCTGGATTCGGAATTGTTGAAATGAGAGCTTTCTAGGTTACTTAGCTTCCGAAGTGGGTGGGCGTTACTGTAGCATCATACTCTCCTAAGCTTACCATGGAATTGTTGAATTCTTCGTCGTCAATCCTCCGAGAGCAATTACGATGCAGTGGATGAGCAATGTGGCTGAGCCGCTATGTACTGTCTGAGTGTGCTGGAATTTTCATTGCTCTGGTTTCTGATTAGCTCATACGGTCTCAATTTCTCCTTCCACAAGATTAACCGAGACAAGCTGAAAAAGGGTGCGATAGTCTGCAATTTGTTAATGCTTTGATCACAGTGAAGGATGCATCTACAAATTTCCTCGCAGCAACAAACGGTCGCGAGAAAAACCGAGGTGTATTCCGAGTCGCTATTGTCATTGGTGGCATTGACTGTCAAGCCCTTCATCTGTACACGATCAAAAACAAATATCAAATAAAATTGTCGATGTCAAATGGGCGTTGTATATGTATGATGGTGAGCGATTGACATGGGTGGAGTTGACTTTTTCATATTGTGATAAAGCTCATGACAACCGCTTTTTAAATACAACGAGGTATAACCACAGGTTTAGACTCCGCCGCGCCTCACCACACCTTCAATCGTGGCTGCGAGGTACTGTGGCTGTTCTTGTTTTTCTGTGAGTCTCTGAATTGCTCCGTTGCTGTTGCTTTGCAGCAAAGCGTTGTCAATGGGTTCGATTGATTTGGCTAATTTCCGCGACTTCCTATAATCAAATACTCTGGTTTTAGCCCTTAGTGACAAGGGGTGGCCACTAGCTTTGTCTCCTTAGGGTTTGTCTCGCGATACATGTAACAGCACTCCAACTTTCACTATTAACAGAATTGGTGAAGATAACATGACAATGAGTAATTTAACCTGACTGGAAATTTTTCCTCGTTTACTCTGTCCCTCTTGCAAATGCCTTCGATGGATGGCTACGAATCCTGGAAGGCAGTTCGAGAGTTTGAGAAAGCATTTTTTACGCAGAACTGGTATTGTGGCGCTGACAATAAATGAGATGGCCAGCGAAATGCAAAAGAGCTTGAATGTTGGAATGACTGCATTTCTTGCCAAGCCCACCGATCAAGAATATATGGTTCGGGTAATTCAGGTTGGCTCTTCATGCGTTGACGAGAAGAAACCATCTTGCTCTATCGCTCTGTTTATATCTTCGGAGACGGCCTGAGCACATACCACTGACCACTAAGGGATTTGTGAGCTTTCCTGGAAACGACTTTGTTAGGATGACTTTTCAACACTATTTCCCCCAATTTGGAGTCTGTCAGTTAAGAAGAAATTGTGCAAAAAGATGTCTTCGGCAATATTTTTTTAAAAAATAAAAATAAAAACGTGACGTAGTTTGGTTCACTCGATTGGCTTGTACTTCTACACACATAGACGGTCAACACTGTTCTTTTCAAGACTCCACGCCAGTAGTTCCTAAGAGCGGTCTTTGCACAATATTGCACAATGCTTATAAGTCTCACCAATTGGAAGATTAAATCTAAGCACACAGAGATAGTCACATGGAAAATAAGTTACATGCACGGAGAATTTTTTATAAATCACGTAAAGTACAAAAAGAAAACACCACAAACAATTCTTAGAAACTAAAGAAAATAATCTCAAAATAAACCAATGACTTTGATGACTGTGTGGAGAAGGAAGATGTAGGAGCAAGTCATCCATCAGTATTCACTCATTCTTGAATATCATCCACTGAAGTACACTAGATCGTAAAATCACGGACTAAATACGCATTTAATCTTTGAGCTCTGCTCGAGAAAGTATCTTAATAAGCATGGTTATTTGTTTTCATCGCGCACGTCACATCGTGTAATTTCACAGGATGGTGGAGGTTGGGGGTGGGCAGTTGAGCCATAGCATTTGCGGAGAGTGCTCGGAACTGGAATATAGGTCCGCTGGGGGGCTTGATAACTGCGTGGGCGGTGATATTATTAGGCACGGTTCAAGGACTCAACCTGCTCTCCTATCTTCTGTTAGCTGATGAAGGTATAGTGCCGCATGAGCCCTCCATTTTGTTCCCTTGCAGGAGAAATGCTGGAGCAGAAAGGCCAGAAACGTCAACCATCTCACTTTGGCTGCAAATAAGGTAAAAAGTTCTATCAATGCAACAAGCATGCTTATATAACAAAATTTTATTGTATATCTCAAGTTGTAATTGACCACTACATGTTTATATAACAAAATTTTATTGTATATCTCAAGTTGTAATTGACCACTACATGTTTACATAACAAAATTTTATTGTATATCTCAAGTTGTAATTGACCACTACATGTTTATATAACAAAATTTTATTGTATATCTCAAGTTGTAATTGACCACTACATGTTTACATAACAAAATTTTATTGTATATCTCAAGTTGTAATTGACCACTACATGTTTGAGCAGTTATGTTTTTGGCTTAGTTGACAGATGAATTAGTTGAGGCATTGGGTGCTTTCAGGATTTTCTAGATGAAAAGAATCCATCTATGGGTTATTAGAACGTTTCTGATTGCTGTTGTATTTCAATGATTCCAGGCTTTGATCTGAGTATGATTGAAGTTAATTTATGGTAATTTAATTTCTTACACTGCTGAGTCAGCCAAAGTACGACCCTTGTTATCCTGTTCGTCCGACAATTAAATGGCTACTGTGTAATTACTTGTGCAAGCATGCAAAGCTGACCAATAGGATGCCATAAAAGTACTCGTTGGCTACTAGATATGTCTAGCCTACCCAAAAGGACCAACTCAATCTGCTGCTACCAGACAGGAGTAAATGATTTGTTCGCTGTTAAGTATGTTCAGTTTATTCTCTGGAACCTACTTTGCATGCTTCCAGGCAAGTAGAGAATCTATGGTTGATGCAAGACATGCTACCAATGGTTTTGTTTTCTGCGACAGTGAGCATAGACACTAGTTCAGTCTATACTATTGGACCTCCTTTACATGCTTCTAGGCAAGTAGAAACGTGTCGGTGCACGCCAGACCTTCCAATGTTGGGTTGGTGATGCGAGAGCCCCCAGGGTCTCCAACCAAAGTATTTTTGTGAGTTGGGTAGACAAGCATACAGTAAACCAGGTTCTAGTTTCTACTCGCATAAATTTAAGATTTACTCCGAATTTGAGATTTGCTTCAGTTGAGAGGTGGCGTTTTATGCTGGCAGTTCATGGTTAAAGAGAATTGGCAGCTCCCACCAAACTGAGAACCAGCTGGTAAATTCCAAACGTAAATAAAATTGAGTTGTGTTTTACATTTTTTTAGAATCTGAACACTAGTCAGGCTAGTTCTGGTACTGTGGAACTCCCGCATGAGCTGTGACAATGAGCTTAGAAACTTGTTCAGTCTATCCTATTGGACCTACTTAAAATGCTTCTATGCAAGTAGAACCTCTTCAGTCGACCCAATATGTGCCAAATTTCTACAGGTATTTAGGCTCACTGTTGGAAATTTGGCTCACTTCGAGGCAAGTACAAACTCTTCGGTCTGTACAAGACATGGCAACGGCTACCTGGGTGATCAGCGACAGTGAATCTAAAGACCAGGTCAGTCTATCCTACAGGACCTAATTTAAATGATTTTGGGCAATTAGAAGTTCTTCGATCGACACAAGACGTGTAAAAGATAGCTTGGTGATCTGCAACAGTTATTTCATAGACTAGTTCACTGGTGATCTGCGACAGTGAACTAGTCTTTACCTTCACTGTGTGAACACCATTGACTCTAAAGACTAGTTCAGTCTATCCCTTAGGGCCTACTTTACATGCTTTCAGGTAAGTAGAACCTCGTCGGTAGACGCAAGATGTGCCAATGCTAGCTAGGTTATTTGCAACAGTGAGCCTAAAGACTAGTTCAGTCTATCCCATACGACCTACTTAACATACTTCCAAGCATGTAGAAATCCTTCGATCGACGCAAGACATGCTAACGCTGGCTTGGTTATCTGCTACAGTGAGCTTATAGACTTTTTCAGTCTATCATATAGAACCTACTTAGCATGCTTCCAAGCAAGTATAAATGGCTCAATTGCCTGCAGTACAGGCAACGTTGGCTTTGTCGGCCGCGACAGTGGGCCTTGGAGCGTTTGCGTTTGCAACTGTGTTCGTCTCCGAGGTGCTCACTACGGTGCCGATGTTCTGATCGTCAGTAAGAGGAGAGGGTTGCGTCATGGGCTAACAGCTGTTCAGTTGGTTTGTGAAATGTTAGGTGACCATTTATGAGATGTTCGTGGGTGTTCCCGCTGGCTTCAGAGTTTGTAGTTGACGATCAATGACTGTCTGCACGGCAATGAGTTCTCATGCCGCTGGATACTGTGTTTCACGTGGAATACGTCTACCTCTCTTGCGAAACCATCTTATCTGTTCTAGCCTCATAGGATGGAAGTGAAACGTGAGAGTGTACTAATTCTGTCATTCGACGGTGATTTAGACCTTTCACACATTAAGAGCTGTCTATTGATAAGTGACATGTATCAGGTGCGTCTCTAGGATGTGTTACTTAATAGAGCCCTAATTTCAATAGAATGATATTTTCTTCATTTCCTAGCTCCATTGCATGATGCTTATCGTGGTGAGCTTTATTTTACAGAATCTGCCTTCGTTCACATGTTCTAGGCAACTGGGTAACCTTCACTTCGTTGAGGAATCACTCAACAAATGAAGCTAAAAAAAACCTTTATTTACCTTACCCTTGCTAGGCAGGCCAGATGCACAAGCCTGTGAGGACCTTCACCGGTCAAGCGAATAACTGACCTGGTGGCGGGACCAGAGAGCAACCACGTTTGAGATCGATCGTTTTGTAGACAGAAATGGTTGAGCCACAAACAACTATTACTCAACAGGATCGGTGGACACGTGTTGGAACGAGTCACCAGTGAGTCAATAGAATTTACATTCGATTACTTGTGAAGAAGGACAGACCTTACCGACTTGCTGATTGAGTTTGCGGTGTTGATGTAGGCATGGCCATGACAACTGATCACGCTCTTCACGATGGAGGTTGGTTTCTGAGAGTGGTTGTGATCATTCACCGATGTGCGGTGGACCTGTTCGAAGCCGCAGCCTCTTGTCGTCGCTTTTGGCAATCTCGTGGAGGTTTGGCTGCTGCTGCTTGCGAGCGCATGTTACGTTGGATGAAGCCTTTTCCGGGTGCCGGCTTGTGGGATATAGACGGGGGGTTGCAGGGCCCCGCTATTCGATGGGCAGAGATGGGAAAAATATCTCCTCCCCATGTGCTCGAGGATGTAGAGTTGTGAACGGATGAGAACAGATGGGAGCAGATGAGGTTCCCAAATTCAAAACCAGGGCGAAGGGAGTGATGTGGATGGATGTTGTGTCAGGAAATTACATCCATCCAAGTGAGGGTTTGGGGAGAGTGCCCGCTGCCCGCTCTTCAAGCTTGTATGGGGGTACTGTAATATTTCACTTTCTATAATAATTATTATTATTAGATTTTTTAGAGAATGATAAAACCATCAAATGATCTTAGCCTATCAAGAATATATATATATATATATATATATGTGTGTGTGTGTATGTTTCTATATGTTTTTTTTGTATATAGTCTATGTGCTGTAAATGAATATACAAATATGTATCTATACATTTTATGTATACAAAATTTTTGTGTAACTATACATATGCATGTTTGTGTAACTAAATGTAATCATGAATGTAATTTTTAAATCTTACTTTTCATAGACTATTTAATGAAAAAAATCTAAAATACAAGAGTGACTATTTAAAATAATTAAATATTATAAACTATACCATAATGAGTAAAATTTATAAGATTTTTTCTATTGTAAAAATTGACGAATTTTTTCTTTTTCTTTATTAAAAATAAAGTGGTAAAATATGTTAGCAAAATAATTTTTTTAAAACTAATTTTCCAAGTTATAATTTTTTTGTAGCTTATTCTTCTAAAGATTGTTAATTTTTCTTTTTATACTAATATATTAGCTTTTAGCTATCTCTTAGATTGTCAGCAAATCAAATTTGGTAGTAGATTATTTTATGTATTTCATAATATAAGCTTTGGCACTATCAAAACATTGATTTTGTTAGTTAACTGTAAGAAATATGAATTTAAACAAAAGCTACATAGACAATATTTTTATATATCACTTAGAAGAAAAAAAATGAAAAATAAAAAAGAAATATATATATAGATAGAAAAAATTAAAATATTATTGCTAAATACAAAGATGTAAAATCTTGAGCAAAGATAGGAACACAAAAAATAAATTTGTGCAGTGAAAGTTTGACTATATACAATTTAATTCTTATAAAAACAAAAAAGGCAAAACTAGGATGAAACAACATAGAGACCATAGATCATACAAGTAGTCTAGATTGAACATTGATCTAATAGAACAACAACAATAACAAAGAAAAAAGACTACTTTAATAAGATCTTGTTGTAAACTCAAACTACTTCTATTTAATTGTGGCAACGTTAAATCTTTACTAATATCAGCCATTTATTGCTATACTCAAATTTAATCTAATTTGGGTGTTGCTTTTTTAGATAAGTTGGATATTTTTGATTTGCCTTAAATTCTTATATTTTATTTTCTATATCTTACATAGGCTAAGTATTTTTGACCCATCTTAGTCTTATTGATTTAGGATTGTTTTAGTGTTTAAATGCTATTTATCCATATCTACCACCAAGTAAATCAAGGCAATTTACAAGCATCTATTACAATAGAAGTGTAGATCACTAATTAAGTGACAAACTACAAATATTATTTAATATGATTTTTATATACTTTGATGGAATTGGTGAGTATTTGATAAAAGAATTATATAAATGAATCATTTACCACTTAGAAACAACTCCTAGGAATATTATTTTGTCAATTTAGACTTACAATTAGATAAGAATAAGCTCTTAATATTTCTCAAAAATATAATATATAAACTTTTTGAAGATGTAATTTCATATGTAAAGCAATTTTAAGTAGTATGTATCTAATATGTTAGTAATTTCTTAAATAAAGATAAATTTTGTAATTACTTTATGGAAGGTTTGTCTATGTCTTTTTACCATTTGAGATATATTAAACAAAAGGGCTAAGAATTTTAAAAAAGTAATTTGAACTACCTTAGAAATTGAGATTATTGAAAAGAAAAATAATTGTATGCTTAGAAAGACAAAAAAAAAAAAAAAAAAAAAAAAAAAAAAACCCATAGTAACATTTATACCTTAAAAATATCAAATTAATTAACTCCATCAATTTCTTACCTTAATCTATTTCTATTCTTTAACATTTTTATTACCAATTAGTAATCAAACATCTTTAGGCTTATAAGTTTTTTATAAACTTATTTAAAATAAATTCTGCCATTATAGTTGGCTAAAAGAACTCAAAAATGAGATAAGACAAACAAATATGTGTTAAAAAAAAAATAATGATAAACATTATGAAAGCCATAAGTAAAATAAATAAATAAATAAATAATCATTATCAAGAATTGAAATCCAACTATAGATCCTAGGTCTATAAACAAATTTGAAATCTATGTTTTATTTTTAAAATGATTAATTATAAATTATTGCTAATCAAAAAATAATAAAAATTTATAAATTAATTAAAAAGATTAATGTTATATGATAGTTAAGGCTTTTAATATTATGATATAAAATAGATAAATTCTCTATTTATATCATATATTTATAAAATTAATATTTTAAAGTATAAATTAAATTTGGTTTTTTGTATGTAAAAATAATGTTTACAAAAAAATTATTATCAAAACTTGTTTAGATTAACTCTTATTGTCACAAATTTTAATATCATTTTTTTGCACTATTGTAGTTATTATATATATATATATATATATATATAGATACGAAAACATCAATTAGACTACCTAAATCTTTAATCAACTCACATGATTTAAGGCCCGTAATGGAAAACACACCAAAAACACTTTGGTGGAATTTGTATTATACCTCAACTTAGCGTTAGTCTTCTTTGACTTCTTCTATATTTAATTATTTTTTATTATTAACTAAGACAAGATTCTCATAAAACATGTCAATAGATTAGCAACCTTCTAAAATAATTAAAAAACATTGTAATAAAATATAATTGTTACTTCTATTAAAATAGTTTGCGACGTTCTCCACCATAAACTTTGGAACAAGTTGATCAATTTAAGATTTTGGTGCATCGATTTAATGTTCTACTATTTATTATATAAAAGTGCTTAGATATAAGACAAAGAGACAAAGAATCCATTGGTCAAACATGGTAACAAGGGAACATAAATGAATAAGGGAATGGATGGATGACAATGCCAGAAATTGTGGCACCAATTGCTGTTAATATCATTATCTATATATACTTTTATATATTTATTTATACTTATATATATATATATATATATATATATATATATATATATAGAGAGAGAGAGAGAGAGAGAGAGAGAGAGATGTTTAGAATTACATTCCAAAAGATTTAAAATTTCTAACCATATTTCCACTTATGTTATATTATATATATATATATAGATATAGATAGACATCTTTGAAATTACAGACTAGCAGTTCTAACTATTTTGATGTAGAGTAATTGTTTAAAAGCTTACGTTCTGTATATTTTTAGTATTCAATTTATAATATTCAGTGTGCTAGATATTGTGTGATGGGGTTTTTTAGTATATTTACTTTCTCAAAGTAAGGACTGCTCAGCTTTGCAAAATTATAGATTCCTCTATTTCTTCAAGTTTTGTTTTTGACTGCATCGAAGGGTTAATGTTGATGTTCAACACTCCGCACATATTCTGCAGAAGAGAGATGTATAGTTGAAAAGACAACCATACAGAATCCTAACATATGGTAAAGGTTGTGATATTGCATCCTTATTATCAGGTTTTCTGACCTGATCCATCGGGTATCTCCAGCATAATCACACACTTGGGCTTGTGTTCCATCAACTGTTTCTCCAACGATGCAATCTAAAACATAAGCAACGATAACACAAGATGCGTTTCAAATTAGAGAGAAAGTTTTAACCTGCACTGAAGATTAACACAAGAACTTGAATTCTTTGCACTTATAGAAGCCAAGGGTCAAAAGGGACCTGAGAGAGGACTTGCTTCATTGGAATTTCAGTTCCTTGTTCGAAAAAATCACAGGGTTAGTAATTACCTTCGAATCCTGCTCTTGCTCACGCTGTTCATGAAGCATCAGTTTCAGTCTCCAATGCTTCTCACGTATCTCGTAATCCGTGCACCTGCAATGCAATAAAACTATCAACCTCCCAAAACCAATACACTTTCTTCCTCCTTAATGGTGCCATCGATAGCGGCCAGAAATCACTTTTTAAATCCATGCTTAATAAATCAAACGCAGGTTGTAATTAAGTGAGACACATCGCGACATTACTCATCTTTTCCCTCGTTATGTGTGGTGAGAATGCATAACTACTTTCACATTGAAGCCCTAAACATGCTGTCTAGCATAGGAAAGAGTGAAATACTTTTGGAGCAGTATGGTGTTCTGCTCTAGAATATCATGTAATGATACACCATTTTCTGGAGACATATGTAATGTAATGTAATGTACATGAATGTAATGTACATGAAAAGACATCATGTACATCATGTGCAGGCTCCATGAAGTTTGCCTCCATAACACCTGACACAACGGCAATGCCATGATCAAAAGAGGAACCAGTATTTACGGTTCTCTCACAACCAAATACAGACTCCCATATAGAACTGAGCTGAATCAGCAAGTATGTAAAATACAATGCAGTTCAGTAGGGGCAAAGCATCCCACATATTGTATTGAGCTACGATAATTTCAATAACTAACGCAAGTGCGAATATCGATCATGGAGATATAATTAGTGGTGTTCTCACAACTCGCAAACCAGCAAGCCTTAGGAAGGGGCATACCTACAACGCCCCACCCCCGACTGCTATTATCATGAAAAACTTTCCAAAATGGCTGCCTCACAGAGTGTAAAGGAGCAAATAATTAGCACTCTAAAAAGAACTCTATATGCGAAAATTTGTGAGAGAGTTAGACATGCCGCCCTCAGTCATTCATGCTGAAATGTAACAGATTTTCCCAAGGATAAGCATGGATCCCAACAATACCATGATGAGCCGATTCTTGTGATACACATTGAAGCCGTGGACATTAACAAAAGGCGCTTCTTTGGTGAAACCTATGGTGGTAATCACTGTTACCTGGAACAAAGCAGAAGTGCAAGACATATTTCAGTTTCATGAAACAAGGCCTGAACATCGAAACAGTCCTCAAAGCAAGAACTATCTAGTCTGTTGATGTTGAAAAAGGGTGCAGTTTCAGCAGTGTTTTGGACAGCATGCCCTTCATACTGTTGTAATAGTAAAAAGAGTTGTTTAAAGTTACGTGACCAGAAAGATCGATTAGAAAGTTATGCCTTACATGGAGAAAGTAAGAATATCAGGCTCCAGCATTGTAAAGTAATTTCAAGGAGAGGCTATTGGAAAAGAGAAAAAAAAAAAAAAAAAAAAAAAAAAAAAAAAAAAAATGCACCCTTGGTCGGTTTTCAGGAGATTACATCCTTCACATTCGAGTCCTTGCCCGATCCTATCTGTGGCTTGTACGCAATATACTGGGTATGTTTCAGGTCTACCGCTATGCTGTGATGCTGCACAGTCTTTCCTCTCAAGATGATTCGAAAGTTCTCGGGCATATGTAGATACAATATTGAGGAATACACCTGCAGTGCCAATAATCTCAGATTAGTCATCATATGAAATTAATATATGTCTGCTACGATACTTAGTCTATTCACACCACAGGTTATGGGACCTTAAGCGTAGAGCAAGTTCTGGAGCTTGTTACAGTAGCTTCACCCGCAATGAAATTTGGTACTGATTGCTAATATGTTCTTTGACGAGGAGAGCATTCAACTTGGGTTGCTTGGATTTTTCCTCAGTTCCCACTCGCAGTTGAATATCCTGCGGTTCAAAGATATCCCCCCCCCCAGTTTCACATACTTTTCAAAAACACAACCTGTAGACAAACATTCTATAATCAACACCCTTTCTTATGTTTTCTGATACTTGGCACTATGTCATCACTAATGATACTTCATAGATTGCAATACACCTACTTATCATGCATGAACCATGAGTATTCAAGAGCAATGATAATAGAAAATAAAGCGAGTGCCACGTACTCGCTCATCCGTATCAAAATCTAGTTCCAAGTTTTCGTCATTATTGAGCCACAGATTGTAGACTACAACCTTTGTCCCATGCTTACCTATGTCGTCAAACTGGAAAACAACGGAAAGAACCAAGGTGGTTAAGCAATGTTTGATGGAAGATTTAATCAAGACAATGAAATTCCCAATTTTGAGACAATAACTTGATGTGAACAACTACCGAACATAGCTTTAATAACCAAATTAAAAGAAAAATACTTTTAATAGACACGAACGGGGCTATCACAGGGACAAGAAAAGCCCGGATCTGTACATGCAAAAGCAGATTGAAGACAGCGAGAGAAATGAAGGTTTTAGAAAATAGTTGTTTAAAAAATGGGTACTGCACATCGAATTGAAACACTCAGTACTACTGAAACATTTACCTATATTCCAATCACCAAGTAAACCGTATATTCTTGTTTTTGAATAAGTTGTAATAACCTGTTTAAGAAGCTCATGTTCAGAGGAGAAGGGGGACCAGCGTAAGATTGTCCCAAGATTGCTGATCCAGTCGTCCATATTCGTCCGAAGGTTAGCTGAAAGTTCAGTGCCATCTAATCTTAATTTGAAATCCACCTGGCACCACAATAATAAGGTAGTAAGGAAGAGTTTGGCATATTTTGTCAAGGAATACGAATGATATATAAGGACGATGTGCACATTAGTTCCGAACAATTTTTGATTCACAAAATTGACCATGCGTAAACATGGATAACTGGTGGAATATACTTTTAAAATAAGAACTAGGTTTTTTATTCTTATACTCTTTTATTTAAAAAAAGAAAAAAGAAACGGAAATCTTATGCTCACCATTGGAACCACAATATCCTCATGTCCGGTCTTTATCAAAAACGTGTAAGACAGCAATCCAGCACTTTGTGTCACAAACCTGTCATCGTTCAGGGAAGACACTCTTAACAGCACATCCTCAACAACTTGAGTAGAAAACACCAGGAAATAGAATTCAATATCTCATTCTACTTCACAATGCTAATGAACATTCACATAAGACTCCATGCCTGACTCTAATTGGCGTTCTTATTGATAAAGGCAAGCGTGTGAGACAACTCCTGAATGGTGAAATGAGTTATCCATTCATACCCCTTGTTATTTGGCTGGCGAGTAAAAACAATAACGTCTGCACCGAGGCGCATGACACTGGTCTTGAATCCATTGCCATCTGCCACACAGCACAGATATAAATCCACCACTCTAAATGAAGGAACAGAAGGAATCCGTAAGATGATATTCACACGAGGCTACTCCATATCCTTCAAGACAATCGCCAAAACACGATGATGAAAGGTAAAGCACAAAATGTCGAAACGAAATATGATCAGAGAAATTCAGTCGAAGCCTTCGTTCAAATGCGTCCACAACCATTGCACAACAATCGCACATCAAAGATGATTTTCAGGAACACTGCAGAGTAGGGGGAGCTGAGTCGGAGCCCCTTACATTGTCCAATCGTTGTGTTACTGTTCTTCTGAGAATACCCCAAGCTCATGCACATGCGGATATCATCCGGACTCATGCCGCCTCCGTCATCTGCAGTGAGCGCCCAAGTTAAAATCTCTTCGTGAGAAATTGTTGTCGGCAAGTAGAATCCATACACAGCCATTTCGGTTCAACCCAGCTGGACAATTCAAATTTTTCCTACTTTTAGTGAGTGTAGGAACATAAGACAATCATTCCTAAACCTAGGGATCTCTGTTTGCATACAAAAAAAATAGAAACGGGGTTACGGACCCTTGAACAAGAAGAGCTGGGGAACCATCGCGAAGGTTTAAGATTTTGTCAACACGCACACATGTTGCTCCATTCTGCACCTGTAATAATGACGTGCATGTTAGAGTTGGAACTCCTCCCATACCTCAAGCCACATCGATGGTTTCCTGAATTCAGCACAAGCTCCCTCTCCAGTTTCTTGAACAACTGAAAGCACAATAGATAATTCTTTCGAAGGACGTCATATGACGAACCTCGTCAATAGAATTGTCCAGCAGCTCGGCAATAGCTAGCAAACGAGAAGCACATTATTTAGAAAAGGATGTGGTGGGGTAAGTAAGGATTTCAATATGGGCAACCACTGGGTGGCCATGTATCTACGACCCAGGAAACAATTCTCGTCACGCCAAACCTAATTGAAACTTTAAGACTGCTCTGCATACCTCCAAGAGCCCACTTGTGAGACGTGGCATTTGAGTGCAAAAACTAAGGGTGCACGCGCACATGTTCTATGGCTCCTGTCATCAACATAAAACTCAGATATTATTCATGCAACTCATAGCACCTGCTGTAGTTGAGTGCACATCAAAACCACGCGAACGGACAACGAGTGCCTCATGCCAGCAAAAATCATGGTTCCTAGAAGTAGTTAAACTCAACCTTGCTGTAAACAGCCAACGTAGATACACGCCCTTCAGCAGGGAAGTTTAAGGCATCCTGGCTTTACTAAGAAAAGATCAGTTCAGAATTAGGCAACTAAAATTTCAGAATAGGCTGCACAAACAACGAGAATGCAAACCTTGAACAGCGCGCCTCCTTTTGGAAGCATGGACATGCTGCTTCTCATACAGTTCTCCTGCTTGCCAAAACTGGCGACTCAAAGAATCACTTTGAAATTGCTCTCTCCTCCTATTATCGCTGCTCATTTTCCCTTTGGTTTGAATTTCAGCAGCAGAAACATGAACCTGCTTACTGCCAGGACCGGAAGAATCTTCACCGCCATCTCTGTGTTCACTTCCATCAAGAGCAGGGCCTGGACTCTCACAATCTCTCTCACTATTGGGTTCCACCGCCCCATCTTGAACACAACCAAGTTCACGTCGACTACGATTTGAAGGTACCGAATGTGCTGTATCACAATCATCGTCACTACTAAGAAGGTCTATCACTGCTGCCATTTCTGTTTCGGCAGCACTCAGGTCGTCAATCTCTTGAATATCAACCAGCAACGAAAGCTTAATGCAACATGCACAATCAGATGGTGCAAATCACAAAACGCAGACAAGAGTCCTCCTTCCATGCAGAAAAACGATTTACATGATTCCGTCTAATCTCTTAAAATTAGTTGAACCAAGCGCATAATAAAAACAGGTGACTCAATCTAATGTTTCACTGGGAGAGAGCCATGATACTCATACATAGTTTACTTTGGACACTGTAGAGGAACAAAAGCGAAAGCAAGAGAACAATGTAGAGGTTAACACAAGCGACCTAATTGCAAAAAGCACAATGATACCTTGATGAACCCACCTGCAGCTTTTCATGGTGCAAACTCACGGAAACCCATGACACATTCACGCATTCAGCTTCTTCAGTCTGGGGCTATGGAAGTGGTTCCAGTTTCTGATGCATGGCCGCTTCGCTTCACCTTCAGCTTCCACAAAATGGGATCATAACCCATTTGTGGGGAATGCTGATCATCGTCAAAGGCGTCAGCTTTCTGCGAATACCGCAACATGGTGGACATGAACTGGTGATACAATCACGTCTAATCAGCATCGGAGTTGATGCTCTTTATCATGTGGATTCGACACCACTAATCAAACCCTAATGCAGCCAAGTGGGCAATCAAACCTCTTTTTGCTTTCTTCTTTTTGTCATGTCTTTCTTTTTGCCTTTTTGTGTCTTTCGTGTTTATGAAATGAGGGCAAACGTCCATGCTATCAAAAGATTGATTACAAGCCCACATGGGTAAAGGTAGTGTTGCAATGGTGTTTATGGTATCTAGATTTCTTTTTGGGGGGTATTTGGAAAGGTCTTCTAGAAATAGAAACTTGTTTAGAATGTAAATCTTGTAGATTGACAATTTGCTTGGGTTTTGTCAACGAGTGATGTATGCCATGTGAGCATTTGTGGCATATAAATGCAATTAAAATTCATGGATAATATATTGTCTTGATAGCAAGGAATTAAAATGATTATCATCAAGTATTTTAAGACAAAAGATGGCCTCAATTTTTTTGCATGTATACTAGCTAATTAAAAGGCCATGAAAAAATCCCCAAGGCAATATAAAATAAATATCCAAATCGTGTGAGGGGCTTTTATATAATTTTTTGGATCAAAAAATACTCTTAGAAGTTTTTTTTGTATAATGACATAATACAATAGTTGAAAATTTGAAATTCTAATCCACATCCAAAAAGCTTATTGACATTTATATGATATTATTTTTATTCATACAAAAAAAAAAAAAAAAAAAAAAAAAATCAACTTAATCTACAATCTATCTTCATTTACATTTTCTTACTTTTATTTATTTAGATTTAGAAATTTATTTACTTATTTACTTCTTTTCAAATCTATTTTGGATATCAAAAAAACATTTTAAAGTATTAATTTATTTGATGAACTTGACAATTACTTAGCACTCTAGAATAAGATGGTAAAGCAATAGTTTGTATTATATATCTGCTGTAGAGTTTGGAGCACATTGCAAAGTATTCATTTTTAGTGTAAACTTACAAGTATGAGTTGTTATAATAATGTTGTGATGTGAGTTGTTGGAATGATGATCTATTTAATCTCGATACCTATAAATAAATGTAAAATATAATTGACATAGATTTATTGAAGAAAATTGGAGTCATTATATGCTCGATTGTTTGTTTGGATATTTATGTATAGATGTCTATATATATATATATATATCACAATTAGAAAATTTTCTACTATATGCTATTTTAAGTCTTGTGCAAGTGTTTTCAAATTGAGCTTGTACTCTATTATGTTGTCTTATTTTTTTCACGATCATTGTGGCTTCTTAAATCATCAAATTATTAGTAACTTCGTAGAAGTGTTTCTGAAATCGAGTCAATTTCTACCAACTCTCTTACTTTTGTTTTAAGTGTTTTTGCTCATTGAACACAAACATGCAAATAAAATCCAAACATTTTCTTATTTTACAGAAAGGTGGACACAAAATAAGGCAGCCTTCTAAATATTTTACGTATTTTTATTAAATAAATAGTAAGAGTTTAGCTTTAAATATTATCATAATTTTACAATGTAGGATATACAAATAGAAAAATTAATATGAAGGTTGTTTGATAAAACATAATCTTTTTTTCATTTATAATGAAAAAGACCTTGAAGGATAAACAGTGCTTTTCAAGCCTTATCACAACACCAATAAAATCTAGCGGAATAGCAAAAACGATTAACATACAGATCAAAGTAAACGACACTTACACAAAACCACAAAAGTTAGCATGTGTTCTATTCATTTTCTTAGGTATGTCAACCTTTAATTCATTCAAACATTTTCAATAGACTATAATTAAAATAGTCTAAGATAGAAACTTGTTTTCTACTTGATTTTTGTACTTTACAAACTTTTTGTTGCAAGTTACGGAGTTTATAATAATAATCTTCAAAATACAACATAATGTAAAAACATTCCACATAACAATGACTTTCAGAATTCATACTGAGCAACAGCCAAAAAACACAAAAATCTACAAAAATTATAATTTTAATGTTCTGATGTTCAAATATTGGCTTGATAACGTAAGACACTTCTGATTCGAAAATAAAAAATGTAGATCGTTTGAAAAGCCTAACAAGTATTTCTTTTGAAAAAGTTGGTATCACTTCAGTTAGCATCTATTGAAATGCTTCAGTCTTTTTTATAAATATTCATGAACAACAGAGGCAAAATCGAATATTCAATTCTTCAATTCTTCAATTATAGAAAAAATTATACAAATTGACTCCAAATAACTCAATTAGCAGAATATAGTGTATAAAATAATACAGTATAATATGTAAGTGTAGAGCATACTATCAAAGTTGATTTCACTCAACATCATCAGCAACTTAAATTGTACTCAAGAATTTATAAAGCTTTCACCACAGAGTAACCAACTAGTTTTCACATTGCGATGATTAGACTTTGAGTTCGAATCAACCGCTCAACCAATTGCTTTCAACATGTCAATTCACAACCATCAAAGGACATAAATACAGACACTTCTAGAGATGTCAAGATAAACCCTTGCACATCGGTTCTAACATAACTAAGGTAGACAGAAAAGTGGTTTCGTGAGCGGATATCACTTCGATGGTCGAGATTCAATCTGCAAAAGTATCTTGCAACACCATACGAACTCTACGTGATTAAGTCATGGTTAGGTTCTAGCACCGTAATTGTTCTCACAACACCACAATTGCCTTATGCCGAGTAGTATTGTTGAACATAAGACGCAGTCAAAATATCCTGGAAATTAAAGTACATGTTCACAATTTAATTAGGGCAGTGCTAATGCCACCACAGTTTACTCTATTGCCATCACATCCCACCACCACCCATTTGTTGTGGGTGGCATGTGGTGGCAGTACCAAAAACTGTGGGTGGGAATGGCAATACTTTGTTATAATTAGCACATTGTTACATACTCGTCTGTAGTTAGTTATGTGGCTGCAACTTAGTAGAGAAGAGATACATCTCGACAATATCTGGAAACACTAAGATCCTTCGTAAACTTAATACTTCAGATAAAATAAGCTCAATTGCTGGTCAATCATGGGTTCCATGATTTGACGCAGCCGTCAAAATGACATAGTAACAACTCAACGTGAGAATCAGTACGTATGTTTCAATGTATGATACAGGATGCACGTAAACTTTGGCTATTTTCAAGTGCAAACTACATGGCTCGACTTAAGAATCTTAGTACCGTCGCGAGCAGCTTCAACAGACACTTTCAAGAGTATTAGGAGCTACGGTGAGCGGCAATTATATGATCACTCTGGCCAGACTACAAGCCACTAACTGATGTTCTGCATCCAGTTCAACCACTTCCGCTAGACCAGACATCAAATATACGCCAGAAGCACGCCTTGCTCCAAAATTCATAGCCATATAGACGTCCTCCGCAGGAAGACTGAAGCCTGGGAAGGAACAGCTTTAGGCAGTCACAAACAACCTGCTTTCTGATGTCTTAACGGGGTTCTATAGAACCAAAGGTAAGCAAGTCGATGAAGAGGAAGATGGACTTCCTACAATGACAGCTGGCGAGCTATATTTGACGAAGTCCGCCTGTGCGACTTAAAATTTCTTGTTCTTTCAAGTGTCGCTGGAACCGGGCAAGCCGTGCTTGCAGGTTAACAATGCCAGACGCTTTGCGAGAGAGCACGTAGTTTAACTGAGACACATACCGGTCTATCCGACTGCCAGGTTGGTCTACTTCAGCAAGCAACTTCATCTCCTGCATCCACAAGAAGCCAACCATTGAGGAACCTAGGCAGCACCTGTAACCACAACGTATCTTGCTAGACGGAGGAGTTCGAATCAATTTCAGAGTAAAAGATAAAGAAAAATAAGTCGGTAGTCTTTCTGCCGTTACACATAAATAAAAGAAGCTGTAACATCACTTGAGATTTTCAGAACATCAGGACAAAACAGAAATGGCTCAATGATATGGCATTTGATGTGGAGAATCCTCGTGACTCAGAAATATATACAAACCACATGCACATACACGAAGCAATAATACTCCTCCACAAGTCCATTCCCGCACCAATTTTTTAAAGCTTACCAGTCGTCAAACGTGCCGAGTGAAGTCAGCTTTGCCCAAATTCAAGTTAACCTTGCTAAGCACAACCTAAAGCTAAGCTGACGTCATTCTTCAACCTCATTCCATTACATAACTGAAGTTCCCCCAACACGAGACAAACAACATGAACACGTAGCGACAAGTTTGAAGAGAGCAGACGAGGAAACGAAGACACACCTCACGTACTATCTCCATAGTATCTTCAACCTCCTTCCGATGGGCTGATATAACTTCTTCCTCTTCCTGCATCAGTCAGCGGCAACGCCATCGTTACTTCACATTGTTCAAAATACATTACAGATGTGTTTTAAATGCTTTAGCACTGTTGGTGCAGGGTTGATGCAGACTTGATTTACTGTAACACTTTTTAAGCTTACACTTCCTCAAGCTGGAGATTGTGTAAAATAAATTTAAGAGTCTCCAGTTATAACTGGCCAACCATGCTCATTACAAAACCTCTCTGCAAATGATGCAGGTGAATTACAGGAACTCATACCTCGAGAATAGCATTGATATAACCTTCGCGGTTGTACTGCACAGGGATCACTTCCGGCTCTATCCTTGACTGAGTGAGAGTGTTTGGGGCTTGCTCCATTTGACGCCTGGAATTTCCATCAGGTTTTGACATCTCATCCCTACTGTATTCAAATTGACGCTTTGCGTTCCCATCTGGTTTCGATACTTCATCCCGATTGTAATCAGATTGACGCCTTGAATTTACATCGGACTTTGATGCTTCATCCCGACAGTATTCAAATTGACGCCGTGATTTTCCATCGGGCTTTGATACTTCATCCCGATTATATTCGAATTGACGTCTGGAGTTTCCATCAGTCTTTGATGTTTCATACCCATTATAATCAGATTGACGCCTTGAGCTTCCGTCAAGCTTTGATGATTCATCGCGATTGAAGTCATATTGTCTCCTTGAATTTCCATCAAGTTTCGATGAATCTTCACGACTGTATTCACGTCTGGAAGGTCCATCGGATTTAGAAATCTCATCACGAGTTGATAAACGATCTATCTTCTCCTCCTTACCTACTTTGCGCCGAACTTCCTGTGCCCTATCGACTTCCTGTTGGTCGGGCCCGTAGACATCATTCAAGCCTGATTCACCGCTATCAGTAAAGATTTGTCTATCACCCACACCTGTATTCACTTTGCCATGCTCTCTTCCTGAATAACTATACTCTAGTGATTGATTGGAAAGTTCCCGCTCACCCTGCTGCAAGTATCGCCCAGTATCAAGAGGTGGGCGTTTACCATTCTCTGCCAATCTATCTTGCCCAAGATCAGATACTTGTGGAGTAACTTGAATTGCTGGTTGCAGAGTCGGAGGAGACGAGTTAGATTCTCTTGGCAGCAAAGTAGTTGAGCTAATATCCCTCTTTGAGTTGTTATTCTTAGACAACCCCTTCACCCTAATAGTGCAAAATGTCAGCACATAATACTATAAGCTGTCTCTCAAGACTTTTGGCTGTAGCTGAGATTTATACCTTAAGTTATATCTATGTGAAAAAAATTATGATATTTATATTCATTATTTGTTTATCCCTTCGTTCACTCATTCACTTATATTAAAAGCAGAAATATTAAAACTTTACGTTGTAAATTAAAAAGAAGAAGAAGAAGAAGTCGAATCGGTCGTTCTTCCCTCTTTCGAGACTTCATGCTTCAGAAGATCTACACTTCTATATTTTAAAAATGAGAAATCCACTTCTCCGAATTGTATACTTCTTTAGATGATGCACTCACAAGTGTACATGCTCTATGGAAGGTTGGTCTGAATAGCCTCCGTTGAAAAAGTAAACGTTCTGCAACTGAAGTAGAAAGAAAAACCAAAATCCCGAAACTCAGTTCATCTTGCATACCTGTCCGCATATCTGAGCGTATTTAGCGTATGTTCACAAGATCCTGCATTTGGGGAAATACATGAAATCATCACTGTGCGCGAATCACCCACGAAAGAATCTCGAAGGACCTCAGTCAGTTTGCTTCCTCGAAAAGGAATGTGATTTTGCTCATTGTCGAGCGCCCTGATGCACTCCTTCAACGCCAACAAGCTCTTGTTGATCTCTGCTCCCTCCATCCTACATCGCAAACCCAGACAGACATCATGGAATTATTATAGAAGTACACATCAAGAAGTTGCAAATTTGACCGCATGATTAAAACCAAGACTAAAATGTGGTACATTATGTCATGCGAGCACTATGATTACTGAGAAATCTCCCGCGATTTGTGCTTGATAGTGAATAAACAGAACTGACAAACAGAGTATCATACATTCACTGTACTGTCTTCGCATCATAGTTAATAATCTGAAAGAAAAACCACTACGTCTAAGTCTCTGAATTTAAAGAAGCTGCAAGAGAAGAGAACATTTTGGATTACCACTATAGCAACAAGAACTAACCTTGTCTGACGGTCATTATCAGTGGTATCAGCACCACGCTCGCTGCCAGCCAGATCAATGAAGGAAATCTTTCCAACCACTCGACTGATTTCCTTTCCTTCCTTTCCCTCTTGAGCTTTTTTGACAACTAACTGTAAGATGGCATGAGACCTAGAAGACTCTTCATTAGCACCAGTGGAACCAGTGCTCCGTGATTGATTGCCTTTATCGATATACTCCTTAACCAACTCCACATCAGATACACGAAACTCCTTCAGACCAACAATGCAGACTTGTTGACGACCGTCCTCACGCATGCAAAGCTTCCTGTGAACAAATACACAATTCCAATTGTAATTCTCCACGTCCATTCCTCTTCAAGGTATGCTATATTCCTCTACCCCTGCTACTGAAGCAATGATAGTTCATGTTGACATTAAATCGATGCGAACATAGTCGAAAGTATTTCCGACTTCACTGAAGATCTGCCCAAATATATCGCATTAAAGAGTATTGCTTGCCCTTGGATCAAGATCCAAAAAAACACTAATTAAACGTGTTCACCTCAGTCGCTAGACATGAAACTTATTTCAAGCAGCAATCACATCAGGTCCAAACTTACCTCCTTTCGTTGAGGAGATCATAAAGTTTACCACCATAGATCTCAAAAAAACTCAGCCATAATTGGAAGCCCTGGTTGCGGTAATTTGGCTGCTGCATGATGGCCATCATATCTCCACATGCTCGTAGGGGCAAAGGCTGCATCGTGTAAGTCTTACCGCTTCCTGCCATCCCCCGATGAACATTGGTGAGTAAAACTTGCATTCAACTTAGGAAACACGTAAACACATAGATGTGCACACATAAAGAAAAACTGAATTTTCCGGTCCAAGGATAGGAAACTACACAACAATTACACGTAATTCAGCCAATTAATAGTTCACATGCGACTTTGTGAGTAGATAAACAATCTCCAGCGCAATACTACAAAGGCTCAACCTATGCATCAAATACAGTGACGAAAATCTAAGATCGACATAATACATACAAATGCAACGTGTGAACTCTACAATACCGCAAGACAATCGACACATCAGCGGATGTGCTAAAACTTGATTGACGAAATACCTGTTTGACCATACGCAAAACAAGTTGCCTTTGTGCGATTGAAGATAGTGGGAACAATGGGTTCCACAGTGGAACGATACACCTGAATATCCAAAGCGCTAACTCAGTAAAACAACAAAAACCTCTAACATATGATCCACAAACAGTTTCATCTTTCGATCTGCAACATGCTTACCTCATCGTTACTAACTTGTTGATCCAATACAGCATCAAAGACAAACTCGTGTCTCTCAGTATACGCAGTAAGGTCCACCTGTCAAGTTGACAGCCCGGTTAACGTCACTGCTCATGTTCTTACAAGATGTCAATGCTGGATATGTTGCTGCAAGATTTCACAGCATATCAAGAGCCCACATCACTCACAGTCAAGTCGACTGACATTTTTGGGTCATATTAAATAGGGACCGCACATACTGACCTTCACTTTTGGCTCGTTCACTGTGAGAGAACTGTCCATATCACTAATGGTCACAATGTCTTCCTCCTTTCGCAAAATTTCCTTCTTATTCAATGGTCGCTTGCGAACCTGCAATAATAAAGTCACAACCACCATAAGCGAAGAGCTTAATCCTGTTCACACGCTGTCCACGTAATTTCGCTGAATACATTCACCCGATCGTAGGTGAAACACTCCACCTACTACAATCTAGGGACAGTAGATTTCATAAACCTAATTTAACGGACAACTTCTCGTCTGGAATTGAGATTTAGGGAATAACGAATGAGCATGTAGTCTGTGAATTTAAATAGCAGTAAACCGGCACTAGAAGACAGTTTTTCAATTTTGAACGGACAATTCGATATTTTGAGTCGGCCCAGAACATACCACAACTCTAATTCTCGCAAGGCCACTGCTATTGCCAGCCTTGTCCCTCTCATTCGATACCGAACGCAGAGGACTGCCCTCTGACAGTCCTTGCATCCTGCCTTTAAAGTTGGTCAACGGTTTATCAGGCTCAAAGCCTTTCTCGACAATAGGGACGAATGACGGTGAAGATTGGAACGGCTCTGGCATTGCAACCTGCAAAAAATCAAGAACAAATGTACAAAATTTCAGAACCTGCGCACTAACTGATCATTAATTGATTGTGAAAGATGAAAATCAATTGAGGACATCGTCCCTTTCTGCGGAACAAATGCATCTCAAGTTTGAAAACATCAACCGAATAGGATAGCCGCTCACCACGATATAAACATAATCACTAGCAATCTCCTAAAGTATATCAGCTCTTATCAAGAAGAACTGGTGATCCAAAATTTGCATTCATCTAATATGTTATATAAACAGAAACTAAAATTTCTTAACTTCGTCAATGCTGATTAGCTGTGGAATATTTAACAAGTGTTATTGAAAATAAGTAGGGTTTCCTAATGTACCTCAGGAAAGAACTCTGTATCGTCGATGGAGTGCAAGTCTAGTATTCCTGAATTGAAGTCGCTCCTCATATCCGGTGACATAAAACCGTCCATCGCACTTTGACTCATTGAACGAGAAAAAGCAGAAGTAGAAGGAGTAGAGGGCTCCGAAACTGAATCTGCGCCAGTACTAATTGTCTTGATCAATCTGAACAACTTCTGCTTGTCTTCTAACGACTGAACGCCATATCTGGCATAATCCTGTTACACATGCAGCAAATCCTACCAACCAGGATTATTATTCGAACACTAGCATTTCAGCCGTTGCACTATACTTAACAGCAGACATCACATCACACAAAGGAGACTTGAAAGAAAAGCATAAGGTAGTTTCAGAAAACAGAACATTCAAAAATCGCTCTGAAATTTGCACCGATGATTATAACAACAAGGGGAGCTATCTCGCGGCAAAAACTTCTTACATCAAAAGGTAATGAACCGCCATAGGTATTTCTTACTAATTCAGTGCCACTTTCACCAAAGATATTGCCTAACAGGTGGAAAAGAATTTTTAAAACCTTGGAACTCTCGTATCTATGGGGAGGACCGTAAATAAAATCATAACTTCCAAAAAGCTACAGGAAGTTCGAGCCGTGCAAAGACTGCCTTCGAGGAATACGAAGACGTAGGATCCAAAGAACGACATTTTTACAAGCAAGCAGCCGTGAGAACAATCCTGGAGAAAATTACGTCCCCAACGAAGAGTGGCAAGTTGGATATGCTACACGGTAAGCAACGCTTCACGAGAGGAAATCTAATTTCTCCGAAAATAGGTCCAAATAACTCATCTAAATTATCCAAACTACATTGCGACAATTTCAGTCGAACCCTCAGCATTAATTGCAACTTATCGTAACTTTCTGACTGACACTAACATATCCAGCAGAATCACTTCAAAAGCCATTGCCAAATTCCTGTGCCGATTGGCATAATTGATGACGCATAACGATTAATACGTATAATTATTGCATTTCAACTATCTTGCCGATGGCACCAAGAAACCTCTCAGCCAGATCTTTGGGAGTCTCAAAATAGAGTTGATCATAGTGCCGGCTGGCGTTCTGAAGGAAATGAGCATCAAGGCATCTGAGAGACGCTAATATTAAAATCATTTGCAAATAGTTTGGTGGACAATGCGATCAGAACTTACACCACAACATCGTGCAAAATCTGGGTTTTAAACAAAGAACATATCGCAGATGAGTAGCAGTCACTGACATATTGAGAATATGGAAAGAACCTGCATAAGCAAAGAAGGAAGTAGTCGATGATCAAGGGCCGCCGCTGACAAGGGAGCTGCCAAATGCTGGAGCCCAGCGGACTGTAACCAACGGGCCATCACTGCGTCACCACCAGCTGACACGCCCCCAGCATGGCTGTTACTGTGATTACGATTCTGCTCCATCTGCCCCCTTACGACTTTCATGCAAGTAACTTAGTCTACAGAAGCATGCCTCCCTCAGTACAGGATCCACCCCAGGTTTTAATTATCATGATCAGCTCTCCCTGCACTAATTTCACAACTCTGTAGAATTTTCTATAAGACGAGGCAGACCGGCATCATGACAAAGAGTATAATCTAAATCGAGTAAAATGAGAATCCAGGGATGAAGATCCTACAGCAGCGGGGATGCACACTGCAAGATGCTACGATTCCCATGCTCTCCGCCTATGAATATATCTCAGGTACCAACCCGGCTTTCCTAGAACATGGAGAAAGACCCTTAGGATCGGGATCTTGGCCAGAAGTCGAACTCTACCAACCCTTCTCTTATCAGCCGAAAGAGAGCTGGGAGAAGCCTCATGTACACTACGTGAGTTCACAACTGGACTCCGAGAAATCAAAAATTGGTGAACCTATGCAAGACAGTAACTTAGTCTGGTCTTCAAGCAGCAAAGTCTGAGACTGAAGTGCTGAATCGAACTCGAAAGCGCCGAATCCGAAGAGCACATACTCCAAAGTTTACATAACCTAGAAAATCCGATCAAATACCAATGTCAACAACTAGCGGGCACACAGACTTACGCAATCCGGCCCAGAAAATGCGAACGAAACGAGGATGTACCAGCAAGCACAACGCAACAGTAAAAAAGCAACAATAGTAACAACAATCGACGCCACAAGCATCAAGATTCGCACCGAAGTACCTCCAATTTCTTCGAATAGACACCTCGAAAACTCTCTGTTAACATTAAAGTGCTTCCAAAGGGATTGAAATGCGGCACTACCACGCATTCCTAAGGCATGTCTCTCAAGGACGCAGCCTCGAATGTGCGACGAAAACAGGACTCCACGCAAATATGAAAACAGAGCGGACTCCAATCCGAACTACACTCAACCAGACAGCGATTGAAAAGGGCCTCGAAACGTCGTCTCAAGGAAAATAATCACAAAATGCCATCAATCACGACAAGATGCGTATCAATGACGAGAACACCGAAGCAGTAGCACCTGCTGCTGCTGCAATGGTTAGTTAGATTCCCAGGGCAGGGCCGCTGTGAATGATATCCCTGCTGGTCCCGATGATCATGAAGGAAGGGCCCTGGGTGCAGAAGAGGAGAAGGAAGCTCCGAAGAGGAAGAGAAGGAGAATAGGAGGAGTGCCACAGCATAATATTACAGCAACAACAACAACGCCACAGCTCCATTGAAGGGAAGGGAAGGCAAGGAAAGGAAAAAAAAGAAAAAGAAATAGAAATAGATGGTGGCGTGGATGGATGAGTTCCTATCGCAGCACCCCTTCCCGGCCGGGTCTGGTCCCATCACCGCGCGCGGGTCTCTCACCGGTGGGTAGGAAAGGAAGGACGAAGGGAGGCCTGTCTCGCTATTATAACGGGTATGTACTGCACCGTTTGCAGCGTGGGCTGCTTCCTGGGCTGTATGCCTCTGGGCTTTGCCAGGACTGCATTCAAACTCAGATCTCCTTACAGGGATGTGAATAACCCTCTCATGCCCGGTAGGGAAAGCGCGACTTTGTAGAAAACTGTCACCAATCCACTGATGTATGTGCCAGGAACAGGAACTAGGTATCAAAATCGAAATTAAAATGAATTTTATTCATGTGTAAAATAAACAAGTAAATCGATGGATAATCAGTGTTGTGAATGGTGTTCCTTGTTTCATAAGAACAACAACCCCCAACCCAAACAGATGAATGCTGACAGGCACGTCAACTCACGACTAGGCTTCCACTGTACAGATGCATTTATATATAACTTTTATTTCATGACTTCCCCCTTACCATAAATTGATAATCCTGGTAAAAGTGTGTCAAAATATTTCTACATACATACATACATACATACATACAAACATAGCCATTTCAATAAACATATAATTAATTGAGTTTTTTCTTTTCTTTTGAGAATGATTGTATGTCGACTCTACTGCATTCCAAGTTAGCAGTGGAGTGAGTTATTTCATTGGCATGAAATAGACCCAGGTTGGATTATTGTCTGAAAAAAAACAATGAAAATGATAAAAGAAATCGTTTATATATATATATATAATATATATATATATATATATATTATGTTTGAAAATGTATATCCTGTAAATGAAAAAAGTGGACAGATATCGCATCAACAGCAAAAATTGATGAGAGCTTTTTCAATCAGAGAACCAGAGTAAAGCAATAAATCAATAAATAATTGAAACTTTTTTATAAAATAAAAAATTGCAATCAATCGTGAAAGGGTAACAATAAATAGCATTATGATAACCTTTATTGCTTTTACTTACCATCAACTACTAAATCAACTGTGGCATATGTGCTTGTTTCCACATATAAAAATCTTAAACAAACTGCAGTGTCAATTTCTGGCACATCGTTATAGGGGCCTAAAACTGAGAACCGTACTCTTCTCAGTTCTCTCAGATTGGGAGCGTATGAAACCAGGGACAGAAATAGAACGAAACGGAGACCAATACACCTAATCTTCTGGATGTTGGTTTTGAATTGAACCATAGAATGGAAACAAATTGTCTCCCAGAGAGTTGTGCAGAGCGAGAGCAAGAGGGAGAGAGAGAGATCTGCGAACCCCTGAAAGCTTTCCAGTCCATGGCACTTGGACCCTCCTCGTCCTCCTCAATCATCCTCGTCCTCCTCACTCGTCCTCCTCACTCGTCCTCGTCCTCCTCCTCGTCCTCGTCCTCCTCCTCGTCCTCGTCCTCCTCCTCGTCCTCGTCCTCCTCCTCGTCCTCGTCCTCCTCCTCGTCCTCGTCCTCCTCCTCGTCCTCTGCAGCAGCAACAGCAGCAGCACAGTTCGCATGGGATGGATGGATGGTGCAAGGTCTGGACCCCAAGCCGGATTTCCGAACCCAAGGCAAGCACCGAGGCGGGGAGGCCAAGCATAGTAGTGACGGTTGGGACGGTGGAAGGAAGTAAGTCAACCGACTTCCTTCGCAGCACAGGTAGGTAGGTAGGTAGACAGGTACTCAATCACTCACCTCGCTCTCTGGCTTTTTTAAAATTTCATCCATCCGTCATCCATACGTGTCCACAGACCCATAGATGTCGGGTATCTGACTCCGATTTTGTGAACAGTTCACTGACGGGAACCAATTGTTCCTAAAACTTTGATAAGAAACCGTATGGGGTTCGGGGTTAAAAAATATATATATATATATATACACAAATTCATTAATGAACAAATTACACAGGGTTAAGAGTTTTAATTTTTTTAATGAAAGATGTTCTGATGCGAGGAGGAGCCACTTCTGTTCATCCTGTTACCAGCTGAGCACCTACTCCGCTTCATCCAAAGTCAACCCCCCCCCCCTCTGGGAATGAGAATGAGAATGAGCTACGGCTGCTGCTACCACTCAATCAATCAATCTCACACACACACACACACAGCACTCTCTTCTCCCCCACTTCCTCCCGCTCACCTCATCACCCTAAAGCCGCCCACTTGAAATAATAAACATCCCACCAGCCTGCCCTAGAATCTACGCTTTGAGAAACGAAGATGATGAGAGGACGGAGGAAGTCGTATTCTGTCCAATGTTGAGTAAAATCATGGCGCAGTCGGTTGATGAGCTGGACACAGGTTCAAAATCATTGGTGGGTAGAAAGAGAACATTACGTACTACTAACTAACTAACTACTACTCTCCCTCCTCCTCCTTCCTTCTGCGTTGGGCCCATCTTTGGGTTAATTGAGCGATGGGGTAACCCTCGTGTGGGCTGCAAGACCTGCCAGCTAGGATGGTCCAGTCTAGAGTGGCAGCCCCTGATTCGATGAAGAATGGCCCCATTCACACTGGTCCTACTACGCAACAGAACATAAGTGGGGTCCTAACTGGTTCGTGGAAGCTTGCTGCTATGGACGACGTGGACTAATCAGTTTTGTGGATCTGTGTTTTATTTGGATTTTCTCTTGGCTTTCTTCCGGAACTCTGCATTCCACTGCCTTTCCAGTATTGAAACCCAAATAATTGCAGCTGTTTTGGATACATAATTTAACAATGTTCACTAATCCCTTTTCAATTATATTCCTTTGTGCAATGTGTAAGGAACCATTGATGTATTTGGTAATGGATTTTCGATATATAAAAATGGACTGTTCCAATGTAGTACTTGTTATTTTGAACCACATCATAACAATTCGTTATAGAAAATAACAATTGTAACTATGCAAGTTTTTCATAAAAACCGAAAAGGCATATGCATTAGAATTTATTAAGAACCCGTTATTCATTTGATGTTGACAGACTGTGGATTTGAAACTGAAAAATCTTGCAAATAGCTATGAGATGTTTTTGTGACTCGATTACCATAGTCTTAATAAAATAAAATAAAATAAACTAATCATGTATCGATTGATCCAAGTGACAAGTTAATGTCTTGCAAATTTGCAAATAAGCGAATTGATGAAACACATATTTGTTTCCACATGAAATAACTAAATGACACGAACTCACAATTCATTTAGATAATGTAAACTAGATTATCTATTATTGTAAAATCATGCTTTTTGTTTTAAAACAAGCTGTATTTTTTCAATGATAACGTCAAAATAATTTGGAGTATAATTTAAAGATTCTGTAAAGCACTATTTCATTATTATCTCTACTTACATATATATATAGAACTTGTATCCATGATTATATATCCAAATATAATAAGTATATATAATTTAAGATACAAAGTTTTATATATCATATGCTACAGAAATACACAATGTGAATTCGTATATTATTTATATTAATCGTTTAATTACTAAAAATATGATTAGAAAATATGATTAATAAGACAATGCTAAAACATTCGATCAGTTCATACTAATTACATTTAGAAAAGTCCACATATACTTGATTTATCAGTAAAGTAAAAACTAAGGTCTTATTTCAATAGTATATGTAACACATAAAAGAAAAAAGGATTTTTCATTTGAAGTCATTTAGTTGCATATGTTTTTTGAAGATTAAAATGTATTCTTTGGTACTTCTTTTGAAATAGCATTTGTCTGGCTGTAAAATCAACGAATGAAAACGAAACTCATCCAGGTCCAGGAGGATGAAACTGTACACATTGGATGGATGTGGAGCCCACACTTAATCTAGGTTTCTGATAGAATGGCATCCTCTTCATAGTATATGCGGGACGAGTCTGAGATCTAGGATAATCTTGGTAGGTGCAACAGAAGCTGAGAGGCTTCGCTCAGTGAGGAAGCATGAATGGCGAAATTCGAGAACAAGGACGAGGTCGCGTCCTGCTTGTGCGCCCTGCAATTGTGCGTTGGATCTCTTGATGGTGATGACGATGAGGTTAGGATTGTAGCGCATTCCGTTAGGTTTCCGGAGAATTTTGAAAGAGCTCCTGAGGTCGCGGATCGAGGGAGACAGAGAGATGGCTTACAGGAGGGGTGCGATCGGAGAGAAGAGTTGTTGAAGTGGAGGTGCAGGGGCCATGGCCACAGCGATGGAGAGGAAAGGGCCGGCTTCGATGCACCTATCGCATGGCACGAGGCCTGTGGCGGTGTCGACAGGGTACAAGTTTGCGACGACATGGGAGCAGAATGCGCCGTTAACCGAGCAGCAGCTAGGAGCCATCGCAACGCTGGCTCAGAGTGCAGCGGACAGGCCATTGCCGAGTCACGTTGTCGCATTGGCACAGCGGAGCCAACGTCCCTCAGTATTGCCAGTTGATAGGGAGGCGGAGACGCCAGCGATCGATGCGTCGCAGGGAGGGAGTTTGTTAAGCGAGCAAGTTGAGCTGAACAGCCAGCACCATTTTTACGAGTGGTACACTGATTTAGAGTCAGCGACGAAGTCCGAGACAGAGGAGAAGTATCGTCGGTACGTGGACACACTTACAGGGCACTTGCAAATTTGTGATGACATCCTGGCGCATCTTGATGGATCCCTAGCACGGTTCGATGATTTGCAAGCGCATCATCAGGCGGTGGCTACGAAGACGAAGTCGCTGCATGAAGTGTGCGAGCGGTTGGTGGTGGAGAAAGAGCGCTTAATTGAGTTTGCTGATGCTCTGAGAACTAAGCTCAATTACTTCGATGAACTGGAGAATATATCAACGCAGTTTCATGCCCCGACAACGAGTGTTGGAAGTGGTCACTGCCTTCCCCTCCTGAAGCGCTTGGATGAGTGCATTTCTTATGTGGAAAATAATCCTCAATATACTGACTCCAGCGTCTATCTTGTGAAATTCAAGCGATTGCAGATAGTTGCCTTGGAAATGATCAGAGCTTATGTGCTCAATGTGTTGAGAAATGCGTCATCACTGGTACAGGCGTCCGTGAAAGAGAATTCTACGCAGGATGGGAGTGGCAGGATTGCTATTGCTGAGGGTGCAGAGACTTTGGTGCTATATGTGAGGTTTAAAGCAGCTGCCAATGATTTGAAGACCCTGATACCGGAAATTGAGAAAAGGGCATCTCAGAATAGGTATAGTGAGTTCCTTACGAGCTTGACTTCGTTGTATTGTGAGCAACGCCTTGCTGTAGCTCAAGGTGTAATATCATCCCGAATTGCAGAGTATGCTAAAAGGGAGCGCCTCCCGTCCTTGACAAGATCAGGCTTTGCATATCTGAGTCAGGTATGTTTCGTTCGGATCCAGCACCTAAATCGAGACTTTCAGTGAGTGAGTTGCCTTGTCGAAGTTACTTAAGGTCGTTCTATAGATTTGGCACGATGTGCTACATGTCATGCGTAACATCTTCAAGTAAACATAGACCGTCTTATATATATATATATATATATATATATATATATATATGGCAAATGGAACCTCGTGGTGCGTTACCTATTACTCGTAGGTAACTATCGAGCAATGCACTCTGAGCTTTCCTGTGTGGATATGAGCTGAAAGAAAGGCTTTGTGGAATACTGAGAACAGAGTTTATTGCTGTACTTGCAGTTCTTTTAGGTCTTTGGATTTCCAGGTTTTTAGCTTTTGCGGCATTTGTTTTGGTCTGACTTATTACACTGGTGGTTCAGATACAGTCTATCAATGTGGGCTATTTTCTACTGCATAGTTTGGGAGAATCAGTTGTTGAGGGTCAGATGTATGAGAAATGAATTCTTATGTCTTGTTTTGGCGTTATCCGCAGGTCTGTCAATCGGAGCATCAGCTATTTGAGCACTTCTTTCCAATGTCTTCTTCGGATCCCTTAAACCTTACTCCTCTGCTGGATCCCTTGTGCACAACACTTTATGACACCTTACGGGCTCGCTTCATCCATGAAGCAAATCTTGATTTGCTTTTTGAGCTCGTTGATATTTTAAAAGGTGAAGTGTTGGATGATAAATTAGAGCGACGACGGGAGACTGTTGCTGGTTTGCGCCCTACAATTTTAAAGACCTTAGCTGATATGCAAGAAAGACTTACTTTCCGTGCACAAACCTATATGCGTGATGTAATCGCAAATTATATACCATCTGCGGATGACCTTGATTATCCAGCAAGGTTGGAGCGACTAGCTACAGCTGCTGTTGGAAGCGAAGAGGAGGGTAGAGACTCTTACTTAACATGGTACCCGCCTTTGGGGAAGACTCTCTCCTGTCTGTCTAAGCTGTACCGGTGTTTAGAACCACCGACTTTTACGAGTCTTGCGCAAGATGCTATCAACATGTGTTCGACCTCAATACAGAGGTCCAGCAAGTTGATTGAGAGACGAGCATCTCAAATGGACGCCCAGCTTTTCCTTATCAAGCATCTTTTAACTCTTCGTGAGCAGATTGCTCCTTATGAGATAGATTTTTCAGTAACACACAAGGAACTTGATTTCACACACTTGCTTGACCATGTACGCCGAGTTCTGAGAGGACGGGCCTCACTTTGGAGCAGTCAATCCCTTGCTCGGACATTTTCCCCTAGAGTGATGGACAACCAAACAGATGCGAAGAAAGAACTTGAAAAGAATCTTAAGGTCACTTGTGAGCAATTCATCATGCTGGTGACGAAGATCACGATCGAGCCTTTGCTATCTTTTATTACTAAGGTAACAGCTGTCAAGGCGTCTATTCGGAGTCGTCCCGTGGATGCAGAAGTACGTAAGCCCTTAAAAGAACAAGCTTTTGCCACTCCAGACAAGCTGGCTGAAATGATAGCCGCCGTTGAAAAAGTTGTGAAGCTGCATGTGCCTGATATAGTCTCAAAAATGGGTTTGTATCTGCAGAACTCTTCGACTAGGTCCATCCTTTTCAGGCTCATAAAATCCAACATCTTGGAAGCTCACGGACAAGTGTTGGCTCTCTTGTATTCTGACTACACCGCTGCAGAGGCTTCACAGGTTCCCATTATGAAGCAATCTGATTTGCAATCGTTTCTTGATGGCTTGTGTTCAAGTTGATCATATTTTGCAGATAACAGTTTGCAGTTAAAGCATAGCCTGCTTTGTAAAGATTGTTCATTTTAGCAATCAGGTCTGTTGTAAAAGTAATCCTACTCCTTAATTTCTAGGTTCTCGAAGTGCACCATGTTATAGGTTGGTGCATATTCCTTCAGTTTCTGTCTACATTTCTCACAAGAAAACATTTGTAGAGAGCTTGAAGCAGTGACCCTCATTCTAGAATGAAATGAATGTGTGTACCCAGAGCTGCTTTTGATTTGATCGGTGAGAGTGAGATGGCCGCAACTTTTGATGTTGTTTCCTGACATCTTGGAATAGTGATTTGTAGCGAATGTTCGTAGTCCTTGCGGAACTTGCGAGCAGATGGATTTGTAAGCGAACATCCGATGGCTCTGGAATCACTGCTGGGGCTAGACACATGCCTGCAATGCATGAAACAAATGCTTGCCATGAGCTCAGAGGAAAACAGCTATGTAAACTGTGCCCGTGTAGCTAATGATGCTTGCATCATCAGATTCTACCGGAATACCGCAACTGATTGCGAAAGAGGAATTCTCCCACCAGGTATGAAATTGGTACAGCACATCGTACTTCGATAAATCACTTTCTATTGTCAGAAACTGACACACACTTTGTCCCGAGATTCATGAATAATAAAGAGTACCACATCGCGCTAATTTAAGCTCATTTGTGAGATATTTCTGCTGATCATCAACGAAATGGGTGATTCTAGATCCACATCCGAAAACGAAAAAGAAAGTGGAAGAAAGAAAATGTGTCGTTGATGGTTGAGAATCTGCATCGTTCAGTGTGCTCCGGAGGCTAAAGCCCTCACCAAACTTTGCGTCATACCTGGTCTATGCTTCATTAAAAACACAACCCCTTTCTTTTGCATTCAAAGACAGGATCAGTTAAGGCAAGTCATGACAAGGAGTGATAAATTTGTCAACCCCCTTGAATAGAATTATGCGTTAAACATAATCTTTTATGTGTTTGTGGTGTTGACTTCCATTGTGGAAAGACAATGCAAGCGAAATCCTAAGACTGTCAGTTAGAAAAATTCATGTGGTCACATGCTGTGTGCATGTTGGAGTCCCTTTTCAGCTCTATTTCTTGTTAACTTTTTTCCTAGGGGTTAAAATAATAATAACAGTCATCAAGCCTTTATAGTAAAACATTAAAACATTATAACGAAAATACCTTCAACAGTGATAAGAATGAAGGCAAAATGTTGATATGTCAGTTGTTATTAATTGATTTGTAAGCAGTTATTCTTATTGCTATCTTTGAGTTTTGAATATTGTAGTGTGTGGAGATAAAATATGAGCATGTCCTCTGTGCAGTATGATGAGTACAGAATTTGCCTTAAAATGAAAGGTATGGAGATTCAATGGTTTGCTGTAGAAGCATGTAGATTTGCCAACTCTTAAGTTTTTTTTAAAAGAAGTATTAGAGTGGTGCAAATGGTTGTTATGTAACATATAAAGTCTACACAGCAACAATCCTAATTGCATGTTTCACTCGAAAAAATAGAACTCATAAAGCAAAGTTGACTTTAATATATACATTATCTAAATGCATATGTTGCATGCAATATTTGCAAACATTGCATATTTTGATATATATATATATATATATATATATATATATAAATGTATACTACATTTTAGTAATGCAATATCTATGGAAATATAATAGCAGATGAAAACAGATGTATTTTAAACACATATACTACAATTTCAATACATTCTAAAAATAATTGAGTAACAAATGAAATCCAGAAAGAAAAAAGAAAAAAGAAAAATAAAAAGAAAACTGAATATTTCTGATTAAATTTGTTAAATAATTTAAACCATAGAATCCGTATCTTCACTGCATGTTCAACCTTTTAATGAACAAAAACGCATTCTCCTGATTTGTTTTACACCATAAAATATTGTATTATATACATGAAAACTTCTGTAATTTTCCTTTTACTAGTAAAATAGCATACACTGTTTTGTAATCAGCTATCACAAAGCATAAAGTTACCAAATTAATATTCAAAAAGAACTTTCAATAGAATGAGTACCAATTTACAGAAGAAGCACCAAAATTAAAATAAATTTTCAAGATTTGTAGAGATCTAGAGATGAACTGAATCTAAAATGGAAACAAATTTTGAATAATTGTCACACCATGTTCTTGTCATCCATTTTTTTTATATAATTGTAATTCAATTTGGATTATCATCCATAATGGGAAATTTTCATCCATCCATTTATGATAACAATGACTTTGAAGGATATCAAAAGGTGATAAAGCAAAGAAATTGAGATTGAGGGGACAATGTTTATGAATCTAAAACACTCTTGGAGGAACAAAAGAATAAATCATCAAACTTCACATTTCAGTAAATGGGCATAGATTACGGATGCTACCACAAATAAAGTGCATCAAACTAAAATTAGGGTTTGAGAAGGGTGGAGGTGCAATGGGGCCATAGAAGGGTCCATTAAAAAGAAAATATTCTGACCTCCGAAGACTTAAAATCGTCTCTTTGGCTCTCATAAACTAATGCATGTTTGGAATGATTGGCTCATAATTGATAACTTGAAAAAAGAGATGATCTGGACTCTAGCAAGTGATGCCAATTGATAAACAAGAGATGCAATCAATGAAAGATTTAGAGATTGCAAATAAAACCAACATGCTAACTTACTTTAGAACTTGCATTCCAACTTTCCATACTTTGAAAGTATACCTAATTTAAAATATATGAGACTGTGATGATTGTAGTAGTTTCTAATTATTCAAAGAATGACTACTTACCTTAGAATTACTTTGGATGATGAGAAGATGTGAAATTTGGTCTCACTTACGATTTTTTTGGTTCAAGTTTCGATGAAGGAATCTAAAAATAAAAATGTATAATATCTTTTGATAGATTTGGTATAACTGTTGCAAGAGCTACAAATATTTAGCTCAATATTATAATAATTCAAGAACACTAAATAGTAATGATTTTATGACAAATAATGTATTTATAAACAAATATGTATATATATATATAAGTTATTATTAATATATATATATATATATATATATATATATATATATTTATTTGAAAAAATCTTAACCAAAAAATTTGTTTAATCAAATGGTTTAAAAATATTGAGCAATTTGATTTATTTGAAATATTTTGAAAAAAAGTAAAATATGGTGGATAGGTAGTTAGGATAGCAATAACAAAAACTAAAGTTAGAAAAGAAATATATATATATATATATATATATATATATAAATGATTTATTTTTATTTTTATAATTGACAAAATTATTGATCATGTTTACATCTTTTTGATAAAATTTGGTCAAAAAGATAAATTCATAATAATATTTGTATAAAACTATATGCATATATGTATTTTTATAAAAAAATTAGTAATAATAAGACTTAAATCTAAAATATTTAATAATAATAATAGATTTAATAAATATTAAGGTCTAGATCTCATAGTGTTATTTTATTATTGAATAATATGATACAAGTTTATTATTTTTTCATAAAGTGTATAAAATGCTAAGTTCAAAATATTATTCACTTATCTACATATATATATATATATATATATATATATATATATCATGGATTTTAAATTTTATATTATAAATTCAGGTTATATATATATATATATATATATATATATATATGTATATATCTAATTTAGTACTTTTTTTCAAAGATTATTGTTTTAAAGTCTAAGAATATTTGTAATAATTACTTATGATTTACATTACAATAAAGATTGGTGCACAAGGACAACATTATTTTATTTCATGTCTCTAGCCAATTACTATATTTTATTTATATATATATATATATATACACACACATGTAAAAGAAACTAAACTATTTTATATCCAATAATATTTATGATTAAAATATTTACATAAAATGCTATAGATGTAAACTTTGCAATATAAGTTCATTGGATAGCTGACTTTAATTAAGAGGTGTTTTGGACTCAAACTTTATCCCTTCTGATATTTTTTAGAGAATCAATTTTTCTTTATTTTAGCTTTGTAAGCCCATGATGTACTTAATTTGACATGGAAGACAAATTACATTTTGGTGTATTTGTAAAACTACCTTTAGTTTGTATGTAATATTTGTAGATCAAAAGTGTTTTGCCAGCACAAACTTTTTCAGAACAAGACTTAACAGAAATAGCTAAGATATAAACAAACTTACAACTTATATGATAAAGAAGATGAAATAGAAGGATAAAAAATAAATAAAGAAAAGAAAAGAAAAGAAAAGAAATACATATATATATATATATATATATATATAGAAAGTTTGGAGAATAGGTGAAACTTCAGTTTCTAAACTAATAACCTCACTCATGTAACTTATATTATAAAAAAATAATATATTATTTTGATGTATGTTATTTGCTTATGAATTGAATTTTTCAAATAAATAAATAAATAAATAAATAAATAATATATAGACACAAAAATATTATTACCATATAATACACAATATTAGTGAAACCAAAAAAGAAATAAAGAAAAAAAAAAACAAAAAGAATACAAAAGCAATACAGAATAAATATAAACTTAGGTGATCAAAATATCAATACTTGTTTCTTATCATATTAACTAAAATTAAAACAAATTACTTCCAAAAACATTCACCTTATTTGTAATAGAAAACAAGTATATTTTTATACATATATTTATTTAGATTTAAAAAAAAAATAAGAAAAATAAGAGGTACTTTTTGAAAACAATTGCACAAAATAGGATGGACTTTAATCTAATAAGTCTTATTCTAAAAGAAGTAATGGAAGTAATTAGAAAAACAATAATAGAAAAATGATGTATTTTAATAATAATTTTTATTAGTAAAATCATATATATATATATATATATATATATATATGAAGAGAGAGAGAAAGAGAAAGAAGTGAATGATAAAGCAATCTAAATTTTTATTAAAACAGCTCACTCTATCTTCACCATCATTGTATCTTTGTAGCCCTCATCTTTGTTCTCAATTGTTCCTCATTCCCAATCATTACTAAGGATGGAAATGGGGGTTAGGAATATTGAAAACAAGGGGCATTGCTTAGGAACAGAGTGACAGTTGGAAACAAGAGAGCAGTTGGGAATGGAGACAAGATTGAACGGGTATAAAGATGGTTTAAACATGTGGGTCTATTTAGTAAAAAATTTGATTGCTTTATCATTGCCTTCTATATATATATATATATATATATAGAGCATTCCATGATTTATTTGGTCTTTTTTGTGTGCAAAAAGAAGCATCCATGCTTTTGCCGACTTTGAAATGTTATTGGACTGAAAATTGACAAAATTTATAAATTTATTTTTCAAGAATAACATTAATATATCGGCTTTTTTCTAAAAAATAAGTGCACTATTCTTATGCAAAAGAAGGAACAAGAATTATACTAAAATTTAGAATTGTGAATAAATTTCAATTTTTCTTTTTGTCAAAAGAATTACATGAACTCAATTGATACTTGAATCACATTGTAATGTTTTAATACTTCATACATTTTCAATATGTAATTATGTATATATTGTATGTAATGAAGGTTTGTTCCACATCAATTCATGTGGATAAAAAAATTAAAAAAATGTATCACTGTTGTCAAGAATTTGCCTATACAATTG